GGTGGGATGACGACGAGTTGCTCGACACACTGCTGTCGCGCATACAGATGGAAGAAAAAGTACAAGCAGAGAAGCTTCGCCGTAGGACGAGTGTCGCAACTGTGGAAACCAACGATACTGGCGATGCCAACCCCATCGCTCTTACAGGCACTGCTCACGATGTGGACAGGCTGGCGGAAGAGGACGTTGGTGTGCTTGCCATGCAGTGCCTGAAGCAGATCTTTGTGGCACCAAATCGGCCACAGATCCATTCCGCGACCGGGGCTCTTATCCAATTCATCGAGGATCGCATCGCGAACGGAAACACAGTTGTGAAGCCGGACGAGAAACTAGGCCAGGACCACGGATGGGCAATAAGCATGTACAGCGCGATCGCGAGATGGGCGCCTGTGCAGGACCGCTATGTCATTCTGGTGACGGCTATGGATCACCTGTCGAAAGCACCCGTCAAGGACGACAACCTCAAGCTTCATCTATCTCTGACGGCCATGATTGGGTCCCTGCTGCGGTCCGACGTCAACTTGATTGGGCTGAGCGCCATGGACGTTTTGCTCGGCCTTGTTCAGCACATGAAGAAGCTGATACAGCTACCCGGAGGCTTTGGAAGAACCGAGGGAGAGCCCGAAGAAGTACTCTCTACTCTTCAAGGATCTGGTGACGTGTTCGCCCAACGAAGAGAACTCCTCGAGCGAATTCAGCTCTGCATTGGCGACCTGGCGACACACGTCTACTACGCAGACCAGATCTCGGACATGATTTCAACGATCCTTCTCCGACTCAAGCCGTCCAAATCCTCGAGTACTAGCTCGTCGCCACAGGCCGAGACCTCTGAGCAGCCCTCCTCCGACGATATGGCTGTCAGCCAGCCTCAGCTGGAGACGTACCTTTCCCGCAATGTGGGTAAGACGGCTGCCCTGAAGGCCATCAAATACATCCTCCTGGTTGCGAACCCGCGTGCGCAGATGTCCGGCAACCTGAACCTGTCGAGAAACAAAGTTCCTATTCAAGTTTGGGAGAACACACACTGGCTTTTGCGGGATCCAGATGGCGAGGTCAGGAAAACCTACGCCGATGCGCTTCTAACCTGGCTGGACCGCGAGACAACAGCGGCCGACTGGAAGGCGCGAGACGAAAGCGCACAACACCACCGATCTTCTCTCAAGAACAGCCGCGAGCTTCAACCTGCCAACGTTGCTCAACGAGCCGCATCAAACGCATCTAACCGCGAGAAGCCATCGAGACGCCGCTCGCACTTCCTCCAACTTCTACACATTGCAATTTACGACAACGCCTTGCAATACGTCGACTATGACCCAGATATCGTTCTTCTCCATGTGTTGCTTACCAAGCTGGTGTCCCAGCTGGGTGTCAACGCAGTCCAGTACGGATTACCAATGGTGTTCCGTCTTCAGGAGGATATTCCAGATGCAGAGCTACCAGTGCAAAAGGTTCGCCTTGGCAGTCTTTGCCACGGCTACTTCTGGGCTGTGACCGAGAAGTTCGACATTGAGAACTCTGCCGTGGGACGCGCCATCACGAACGAAGTTATCCGAAGGCGCAGCAAGCATTTCTGGACCGAGGGCGTGGCCATCCCCCCGCCTGCTCTAGAGTTTCTTGGAACACCCGGAGTTGCCAAGTTGCAGACCAAGCTGCCCGCCACAGAAGTTGAGAGTGAAGCGTTGCTGCCCTTCGATGACCGCGCATCGTTTGTAGAGAGCATCGCTGTGAGCTATGCAGACACCAGTATCTCACCACCGAGCAGTCCTCCTCAATCTCCCGGGCGGAACTTTTCGCATCCCATTCTGAGCACCTCAATTTCAACAACGCCTGCGGCGCCCGGCTCGGAGCTACCAACTGCGTTCCGTGAGCACATGCTGACAGACTGGTCGAGAGATGCGGCTATGCTAGCCTTGCAGGCGGGAAGCAAGTCAGAATCGCTAGCTGGTTCGAAAAGTGGCACTATGGGAACCAACCGACACCACCTGACTGTTAATGGCGCTAATGGGCATGGACAAACGGGAGAGTCTTCACCGCTTGGCAGCCAGCGGAATCTTCGTCCGAACTCGTCCCAGGTGCCCGGGGGCTTGTCTCCCATGAGCAAGCTGCGCAAATCCAGTGTCCGAAGTGGCGTTTCGCCCTCACCGTCAGACTCGAGCCGAGGTGTAGTTACATCCATTGACCAACTCAAGATGGTCTTGACGGGCCAGGTGCCGGCGACGCCCATTGGCACGTCAGCTGGCGTGCGCCATGACAGCGATAGCGACAGCATGGTCAGCTACGACTTTACCCCTTCAGAACTCAGCTTCAACCCGGCGACATCTCAGCCAGAAAACGGCGACGGAGCCTCTCTTGGACGGCAGAGGTCTTCATCGGCATCACGCAAGGGTGGGCCCCTCAACTCCAACCCTTTGTACGAGCACAACGAAGACGAGGACGCTCCACCAGTGCCGCCACTGCCCGGTCACATTGGCGGGCTGACGTCCTCGGTTTCTATCCAGGATTACGCAGTGAAGCCAGCGAAACGAGTGCTTAGTAGTCGCGGTGGTGACAGTTTATACCACGGTTCCACGAGAGGAGATGGGACCATGTCAATGGTGTCTGGAGGAGGGATGGATTTACGCGACCTTCTTAATGGGATTGACAGCAGAGCGGGAGAGCTCAGTTTAGGGAACGTCACGAAGCCGCCTTACTAATTAATTTAGGCGAGGGATTCATAAATTTGTATTGGTACAACTTGGCGTAGACGTATAGCGAGGCGCGTAGCCGAGTTCTGACAGTTTAAGACAACAATTCTTGAGAGATCTAACAAGTTACTGGTTACTTTTCTGAGCGTATGAGGACCCTGGAATTTTTAACCTCGTACACCGAGCCTTCACCGAGCTCACCTCCGAGACCGTCCCGCACTCTGATGTCACGCTAGGCACAAGCCAATCAAACCCCTGTATATCCGACCGGGGCTAGCCGCGAAGCTCCCAAAAATTAATTCAACGACCACTTGTAATCTGTGGCTGCAGCTCGCTCCCATAGCTCCAATCCACCACATTCACGCAACGTCGTTTTTGTGACAACAACCAACGAAAGGGCTACCATCATCACAATGAAGCCGTCAACACGCATCCCCCTTCGTCTCTTTACGGCGACGTCGTCGCCATTGGCTTCGTCAGCCAGACGGTCTTGCGCCCTCGGTGCGCGCGCCATCTCGACGACGCCCCTCAAGCCCGCCGAGGTCGCGCCCGTGGTCGGCACCGGCCCGCCGCCGGAACCGCCTATTGCTGACATCGCCGCCGAGGACCGGGCCGCCGCGACGCGGATCCGTGTCGAGAGGAGGAAGAAGCAGGCTGAGATGCTCAAGCACGCCAAGCGGATCCGGACGTCGGCGGAGGCCAAGTCGAGTAAGCCGGGTGCTTTGAAGAGGAGGTTTTGGAATGATGTTAGTGTGCAGGAGGTTGATGGTATGTCTTTTCTCTCCCTCTCTCAAACTTTGAAATAATCGGAGACACTTGACTAACATTAGTACCAACAGGCGCCCTCCAAGTCCACCTCGACTCCCGTCCCCTCCGCCACCCCAACACCAAGGAAATCATCCGCCTCCCGCCCTCGAAGCAACACCTCGCCTCAGCCCTCGCCATCGAATGGGACCTCATCACCTCAGCCGAGCAAGCGACGAAGCAGCACCTGATCCCCCTAACCTCGCTCATCTGCCGCGCCATCGACATCGCCGCCGACGACGCCGCCAACGACGGGAGAGTCCGCGAGACCGTGACGACCATGCTGATGCGCTACCTCGACACGGACGCGATGCTCTGCTGGGCGCCGCCCGCGGGCGCGATGGACACGCGTAACGACGCCGGCGAATCGCTGCGCGACGTGCAGAAGCGGACGGCGGATGCGGTGGTCGGCGCCATGACGGGGCGGGTGTGGCCGGGCATCGAGATTAAGCCGGTGCTGGACGGGCATAGTATCGTGCCGCAGAGGCAGGCGGAGGGGGTGCGGGAGGTTGTGCAGGGGTGGGTTATGGGGCTTGATGCGTGGGAGCTGACGGGGCTGGAGAGGGCTGTGTTGGCGGGGAAGAGTCTTTTGGGGGCGGCGAGGCTGGTTGTGGAGTGGAGTGAGGGTCCTGTTGGGGAATGTCGCGATCGGAGCGCGGGTAAGGAGGCTGGCAAGTTTGGTGTCGAGGAGGCTGCTACGGCGTTGAGTTTGGAGGTTACGTGGCAGACTGGGTCGTGGGGCGAGGTGGAGGATACGCATGATGTTGAGAAGGAGGATTTGAGGAGGCAGTTGGGGAGTGTTGTGTTGCTTGTTTCTGGTACGAACCGGAGATGAGATGTTTGGGAGGTGGTGATCCTCGTGATTGGGGTACTTGGTTGTTGTATTGATAGAGATTTGGGGGGTTGTACATCAAAAGGATAGAGACACCTTGTTCCGGAAGACCAAGGATGTTTTCTTGTAGAAGTAGTTGTTAGAACAAAAGTCGGCGATGGACCACTCCTTACACTTGACTTGCAGTTCCCCTCCAGTGACCATGAGTTTTGTTGAACCAATTACCCCTAGCAGCAGCGGTCCATTACTGGCCGAAGGAAGCCATTATTATTCGTCTCCCTTAGTCCAGGAAGCCGTTCTCAACATATTCCTGGCGACAAATTTCTTTCACATCAAGGTTACCTTGAAGCAGATCTAGTAGGTATCAAAAAATAAATTAAAAAAATCAAATTAAATGACGGACTCGTGATTGGGTTCTGCAGCCTGCTCACCAGTATCGCACGAGTGGCGCAGCAACTCACGTTGTGATTCGACATGTTAAGAGTGCTTCACATAGGCACTCTTACTCGTAGTAAGCCTTAGAGTCTGCCCAACGAAAGAGCCCAACCTGCAGGTCAATGTGGTCATCTGGTCGCACCTCCCACTTCCATCGCTCGTGCTCAGTCTTGATCCAGGCTTTTGGCAAAAGCAACTTCGCGACCGAACATTCCATCTTCTCCACGTTCATATTTATCATTTAGGAAGTGCTAAGCTCAACCAGAGCTCGCTACCGACATGTCTTTCGGCTGGTCCGCCGGAGACATCGTCGCAGCCCTTCAATTGCTGAACAAGGTTCGCAACGCCCTGAAAGACTCCGGGGGCTCCAAGACTGATTATCAGGATGCCACGGCATTTCTTGACACTTTTTCGGCTACACTCTCGTCTCTAAAAGATATCCAGGAGACATCACCGCTCACAGAGCTTCCGAAAAGCATCAGCGATCATGTTGAGCGTCTACGGAAAGAGATCGATCAGTTTCTACAACTACAAAATGACTATGGGGGCTCCCTTGGTCCGTTTCCAACATCCAGCCCGTTTAAGAGTCAAACACGGAAAATACAATACGCGACCTCAAAGAAGGTCCAGAGTCTGCGTGCAAAGATCGGCCCAGAGCTGTCAACGCTACAGATCAAGTTGCTGTATCACATTTTGTTAGTTTTGACCTGTTAGCCGTTTCTCAATTGAAAACTTGAGGCTGACTTATAAAATGTAGACTTGTTTGTTCCCAATTTCCATCCGTCATCCAGCGTCAGGTGAAACATGACAGCAAGGCGGCGTTAGACCTCCACGGCAAAGAGCAAGACATTGGAGCCATCCTACAGACGATCGAGTCCCAAGGAGAAAAGTTGGATGCCTTTCTTGAGGCGATTTCAAGTTTTCTCTTCTTTCTCGAGGCCGTACAGACCGATGTTCAAGCTCAGAGGTGGGTACCCTTATTTCAACGAGATACCTGGGCAGCAGCGGTTCGTCTTACTCAATGTACAATGACTGCAACTCGCCCTGATCCGGATCAATTGTGGTCAGTACTACAGAACAGTCAGCAAATCGCGCTTGGTCTGCTTGGTATCTTGAGAGCTGTGATGTAAGAAGCCTTCGCATACATCTCAAAGCCCTACAGTATTCCCAGAAACTGATCAATGCTAGATGCCTACTTTCGTTGGCTATGATGGCAGGGTACCGAAAGGCCATCGTCCCTTTTTCCAAGCGACTGACGCTCATGCTTGTTCAACCTTCAACGCGCGGGATTAAACTCATCGATGCCTTGGGGCGAAGGGCAACTCTACCGTATGATTGCGGTAGATCTTGGGATGTGAGTAATAAACCGACTCTTATAAGGCACATGAGTGTCTTTACGAGGCTTAGACAACTAATCTAGGACACCTAAATGAGACTTTTGAGAAAACAATTCAGCTGTGGTTCCGCGACTGCCCAGGCGAGGATCTCCTTCAGAAGGGAATGTACTGTGTTGCCGATACCAGGTTTCCTGCCCGCTCCTTCACTCACAAGTCTTGGTCGCACTATATCGAAGATGGCGCCACCATTCAGATGTCTGTCATCTTGCAAATATGTGCAGCTTGTGGTGGTAAGATATCCCTTAAAAAGCCGGGAGAACCTGCTTCCTGGTCAGTGTGCTCATTCATTAATTTTCTCTATCCCTGAACTTCGATTGTTTGCAACTTCAGATCAATCGGTGGCAAAAATTTGAGAAATTTCCGGGCACGGTCCTGGAAGTCGTCCTGGAAGGGTAGTTTATCTAACAGATCGTCATACAGTTTGCATTGCACCAAGCGCTACTTTGTTGTCAACACTGATGCCTTTGCGTCAGCCACGATCGACTTGAACCCCCTTGCGAGTATGTACGACAAAGATTATGGCAAAACATCGATGTTGGGAACATATTCGGAGGGATCGCTATTCGAATTTGGTAACTCCGCCGAGACGAGTCCGGCACATCCGCAACAGCCCATAAAGACACCAGAGTTAAAGCATTCCTTGTACTTACACAACCCGCAACGTCGCTTATCACATAGGAGATAAACGATTCTATCACACTTGGGCGTGGCAGGCCCCTCGCCTCGTCCGAAGAGTACAAGGTGGATAGACCACACAGTTAACAGCTACGACTTCCACTCAGAGCCATGCTCGCCGCGCGACATAGAAAAGATTCTATCATATTTGGTGGTGGAAGGCTCCACCCCTCGTCCGGGACCTCAGCAACAGCTTACGAGCAGAAGCTGGATAAACCAGACCTTTAATAGCCAATCCCTCCTCCCCTTAGACCATGCTTGCCACATAGCCTAGAAACGAGTCTATCGTAATTGAGCGCGACAGGATTTGTTTCCTAGTACGTAGTGCTCTCACTCTAGGCCTCTTGACGAAGAAAAGCTATCCCAAGTTGAAAGGCAAGAATCCGCCTTCTTTATCCATTGTAGTAGCTGGATTCGTTGACAGGCGAAGGCGGAATAATCCTCCGCGATTCTGCTGTCGATCAAGGCTTCGAATTATGCGTCATGTCAGGTACACCTCAAACATGAGACTCCCGTCAACTCTATTTCGATATATTTATTTTATCACATCAATATTCTGCCTTATCTTTGGTTGCTCAGGCACCAGGCATTGCCCAGTAGACAGGACACAGCAAATTCACACTGTCTCATTAGAACTAAGTGCTGTTCTTGAAATTATGACCTTTTCAAGTTTCCCTACCCAACACCCACCATTCCTACGCATGTCGATTGATTAAGCTTCGTTTCACTTCCAATTATTTGAATGATGAGTCGTGGCTTCAAGTATATTATTTCCACGTGTCACAGCGGGAACAATATGCTAAATACGCGGTAATCAATATTCCGAATCATCGTACCCGGCCGTGACTAAACTACGTTCTAAGTAAGGACTGTAATCATCTCCCATCATCAAGAGACATGCCATCATCAATACGTTACAGAAGGTATCCAGCCTTATTAACTCTTCTCCCCCAAAATTAACTCCAGGTCATTAAGGAATGGTGTAAGAATGAAAACCTTGCCCCATGCCCCATATTTTCTCCAATTCATCTTTTTTGCAGATCCCGGTTGTAAAAACACAACAAAAGGGAAGGGGGATATGGTATACAGGTACAAGGGAATTGTCGTCTGCGACAAACTCGATGCAAAGTTCTTTACATCAAGCCGACAGCAGCAACGAAGGCACCCAAAGCCGCGCCAGCAGCCAGGACACCACGGTTGGCATCAGCAGGGGCAGCAGCATTAGTCGACCCAGATCCAGAACCGCTCGTCGCCTGGGCAGCGAAAGCACCAGTGAAGGTCGTGAGCAGCGTGCTGCTGCCAGACACAGCCTGGGCGACGGTGGCGGGGCCGGTGGTGGCGACGCCGTTGACGGTGCGGGTGAGGGTGACGGTGTCGGTCTTGTAAGCCCAGCCGGGGCCCATGCCGCCCCAGGCACCGCCGGGTCCCCACCAGCCGTCGACTGGGCAGCCGGTGATGGTGACGGCGGCGGCGTCGCCGGTCTTGGAGGCACCGCCCCACCAGCCGCCGCTGTAGGTGAAGGTGCTGGTGCTGGCGCACGAGGTGAAGGCGTTGCAGACGGAGGAGGAGACGGAGGTGTAGGTGGAGAGGGCGGCGGCGTCGGAGGTGCAGGCGGACTTTACGCAGTCGTTGAGCTGCGGGGCGTCGGTGCAGAAGGCGGCGGGGGTGGGGGTTGCCGTGGCGAAGTGGGATGAGAAGCAGGAGCTCTGGAAAAAGTGTGTTAGCCAAGAAATGCAGAGTAGGTAGAGTTCACGAGATTTGAGACGAGAGTTTGTGTAGAGTTGGGACCGAGAGGTTGGGATGAACGGAGGGAAAAGCTTAAGACTTACAGCGCATGATGCGACGCCGTTGCCAAATCCACCGGGGCCGAAGCCGCCGAATCCACCGCCGTAGGCGAATCCACCCCAGCCGGCACCGTTACCAAAGCCGCCGTTTCCGGGTCCGAAGGGGTTGGCAACAGCGGCAGCGCCCTGGGCCAAAGCAGCAGCAACGAAAGTGGCCTTCATTTTGATTGATTTGATTTGATTGTTTTTGTTGTGAGAGTTTGAGAGAGAAAAAATTCCTGCGCCTGCAGTTTCTAAATGCGTGTATATGGGTTTGGCTGATGTTTGTTGCGACGGAAGAAGGAAGATGAGATGCAGTCCCGATGTGATGGTTCAAAACAACTTCCAAACAATGGACGAACCGAAGCAACGACTTTGTCTTTATATTTCTTTGAAAACGACATGACCGCTTTTCCTCTGCTTCGCCATCCACACACACGCCCGCGCACCCCCCTTCGACTACTTTGCCTTACTCCGCTAGTCTCACTCAAATGCCGTACGAGGTACTTCTGATGGGTCATGGCATGGGGAGGAACAGACAGCTTCGGTCCCGAATAGCCGCATGGCAAAAAGCAATGACATGGTCTTGGCGCATCGTTTCCTCCCCCTCTTGGTGCTCCCCATGTGAGTGGAGGCGAGGAGCCGCCTTCGTCCACGGTCCACAGACACCGCAGTTGTGACCTAGCTCTTTGAACCTCCACAGATCCTACCGGATGCCCAGGCTACCCTACTGTTCGGGTTTCCTTACACACATCACACCTCTCAAAGCCGTGTCCTTCCATCCCACAGCTTCTTGCTTACCTTACCTTACCTTACATCCCGAACAGCCTCAGCTCGCGCATGTCTCCCGCCCTGTCCGTCCCTTGACCAAAGCCCAACCGCGCGGCCCTGCATGGCAGGATGCCACGGGCGGTGTCACCAGGAAGAAGGAGGAGGAGGGAACAATGGACACACTGAGCCTTCTTGCCCACAAAAAGTCAGACTTTAGCTGCTGCAGCAGCGGACAAAAGGCTAGTGGGCTCGTTCGGCAAGTATGCTTAGCTCTTAGCTTCAACGGGGGTCGTCGTCGTCGCGCATCGTCGTCAAGGGGCGTTGAGTACCTAGGTGAAATGTGTGATGTGACACAACAGGGAAAAAGATTAGTCGTCCGGGATGGGGTTTGGGGAACACCGGTCCACCATCGCTAGCGTTCGGTTCGGCGATCCGTCATGTAAGTCCAAGCCAATCAACACCAACCTCCGTTTCAACCGCATTGGCTCTCGGTCCCCCAGGTAACTCCATCATAAGAATAAGGTGAGGTATGGTAAGGTAAGGTACCTTTAGTAAGGAAACACCAAACGATGAGAAGGGTAATCCTCCTTGTCTTGATTGTTCCTCTGGGCGTAGGTACTTTCCTGCGAGAAAGCGTAAGCCCACGTTTCCCACACATTCGGGGTTTTCGAAGAAACATAAAACAAACCACAAAGGCTGACGTATGCCACTTGGACTTCTTCTCTTCGTCCGAATGGGTTGCCTCTGCTTCCTGCTGCCAACGGACCCAGCTCGTCGGGAGCAGCGCACTGCACTGTACCTTCGAGTCGGGACGAGGAAAGAGAAGAAACGAAACAAAACGGCGTCAGCAAAGAAAAAAGGATGAATGATGATGATTGTCTTTGCGCCGAAAGGGAACGTGACCACCGAGCTGGGCCGAAGCGCCCTCAATCGCATTTGTTTCAGAGTATGTGCTTATGCTGCTCGCTCGGTGCCGGCTGATCGACACACCACCACTAAAAACAGACCGTCGCCGTCAGGTTCTGGCAGCCCCGATCGTTGGCTTAGCTGCCGTCGTGCCGAGAGGCGAGGCTGGTCATATCTGCTTCAACTAAGACAGGTACTCTCACGGGGCTTCGCGCAAGCCTCAAAAGATGACGCGGACGGTGTTGGCACTCCATTGTCGGCAAGTAAGCTGGGGAAGCTGACCGGATGTGTGAGAGGAAAGAAAATGTCAATTGTTTCTGTGCGTGTCTATCGTCTCTAGTCCCACGTGTGTGTCGGATGTTCGGCCGTCTGCAACGCCGTCCCATCCCCTAGAATTAATCCCAACCGAAAAAAAGAAGACCCTGCTTGCTTGATGCTGTGTTAGCAGGTCTGTCAACCTGAACCTGTCCATCGGCAAACTCCAACGCAAAAAGAAATGCCCGAAATCTCATCTCAAACATGCCGTTGCTGCAGGGCAGTCCAGTCCCAAACTCATACAAGTAGTCCCTCGCCCCCGTCGAACACCGCCTTATGCTCCCCCAATGACGTCCGTCTCATCATCATCGTAATTAGAATCTTTGGATTCCAGTCTCAGAGGAAGCCTCTCCGAATTGTTGGCCGACTAAATTGCGCCCAATTCCACACAGGTCTGCCCTACAGCATCGTGCCAAAGGTGTCCTCCTCCTCCTTGAAGGGGATGGGTTTGCGCGGACTTGCGTCGTCCGTAGTCTTCCGGTGTCGGAATGTGAAGCCGACAAAGAGGCTCTTGCCCATCTCGTCATCACGGTCCGCCATAGTCTCGAGGGCCTGCTGCTTGTCATGCACCTCCTTGTACTTGGCCATGTCTGCCTCGTTACTGAAGTCATCGAAGTACCCGGCGTCCGTCTCTGAATCGAGCTCAGGCACGAATGGAGCCTTAGTGGTTCGTAGCGTGTCCCAGTCAACCTCGGCAAAGTAGTGGTGAGAGTTGATCTCCTTGAAGTTGGAAAAGCGCTTAGACCGAGAGTTGATGCAACTAAAGCGTGGTGTTAGATGATGTCACGAAACATGTCAACCGTGACAGGGCCCACTTACGTCGTGATGAAGTTCCAAGTGCGGTTGCTGAGGAAGTAGTTAGGGTCCTCCCATACGGGACGCTTGAGCACCTCGCGCCAGTGCTTCAAGTTTCTCCAAGTCTCGTCAGGTGTGGAGCCCGCAAAGGGAGGAAATCCTGTCAGAGCCTCGAACAGCATGCAACCCAAACTCCAGTAGTCCACCGTGTAGTCATATTCGTCACCTCGAAGAACTTCGGGCGCCATGTAATCGGGTGAGCCAACGATGGACTTGGCGTAATTCATATCTTTTGCACGCATCGTTTGGTAACCCTCCCTTCGCTCAGCCACCGTTCGCTTGTCCATGGGCTTTCCGAAAGGCACCGAGGTCTCGGATGCCTTTTCGAGACGGACTCTCATAGATTCGATCTTGGCCGGCGCAAGCATACCAGCAGCTAGTCCAAAGTCCGTGAGCTTGACGTGTCCGGTAGAATCGACCAGGAAGTTCTCCGGCTTCAAGTCTCGATGAATGTAACCAAGCTGGTGAAGAGCATCGACGGAGCAGAACATCTCGGCGATGTAGAAACGAGCATGACGGTTGCTCAGAACGCCCGTGTTGTTGAGTAGGGTGCGGAAATCTCCTCCTGGCACATACTCCATGGCAAGATAGATACTCTTGTCATCTTGGAATGAGTAAAGAAGCCGCACAAGCCAATCACTCTTGGCAGTGGTCAGGATGTCGCGCTCTGTCAACACGTGGCGAACTTCGTCAAGCTTGAACAGCAACTTCTTGCTCATCACCTTCAATGCGCAGACTTCCCGAGTATCTTTCTTCTGCGCCAGGAAGACCTGGCCATAACCTCCTTGTCCAACCTGGGTGAGGATCTGGAAATCACCCTGGCGAAGTCTGACTCGTCTCTTTCTGAGGTTTGCACGCTCTCGTCCCTTGTACTTCTGCCACATTTGGTTGTACGTCGCTTCATCAGTCTCTGGTGGAGGCGGAATCTCCGACTGGAAGTTATTCAGGCGGTTCTGTCTAGAGCCGACATAGGTAAGGAGGTCGAAATAGTAGTCGAGAAAGTCTGCTATTGATTAGTTTTGCAGGTACCAAGTTTGACAGAGTTCAACATACAGAGCTGCGTCACGTTGACGAGTCTTCGCACATTAGGGCGCTGCAGGACCTCCAGCTCTTCAGGAGTGAGCGCTCTCTGGGTGTTGAACTTGTTCCTAGGAGTTACAGCCTTCTCTTTGGGCTGGTAGAGCTCGTGGCGGGAGATAGCTGCATGGCTCTGTTGGTATGGCGAGTCGTTGCCTCCCAGGCGCGTGGGAGGCGTGTTTTCCTGTCCATGGGACTTCTTCAAGGGGCTGCCTGCTGACGTCGCCCCCTTGTGCAAGACGCTGTCCTCGACGTTGGGACTGTATTCGTTGCCTCTTCCCGATGACTGCGGGGTGGTAATCACACTCAATGGGCGATCGAGTCTGGGTCTCTCCAGAACAGGCGTGCTCAACTTGAGCGCATTGTCGAAGGACTCGGGCAATTCGTGGGCGCCGGGGGGGTTCGTCCTCTTGCTTGGGCTGCCTTGGGGTGTGCTGGCTGGGTTGATGAAGCTGTTTCTCGTAGGCGTCTCGGGTCGCGATGCTGCATTGTTGTCCCTGGTTCCTCCAGGGAACAAATTGGCCATGAAGCCCGACATTGTTGATGATGTCGTCCAACAAACAGATCGGGGGGTGGATTGAGGGAGGATGCGGGCGGGGGGCGAAACGTAAAGGTAGTGACCAAACGATCAACCAATATACGTGGAGGGGCAATCGAGAAAGATGTTTGGGGAGGATCGAAAAGCACTGCAAGGTACGAATAAAGTTGCGTGCTCGAGATAAAGCGTAACCAACGCGGGTTATTATGTTGTTATCTTCTCCGCCGTGGGGTTGACTTGGGTAGGAATCCAGGCGTGCCAGGGCGATGGATGGAGACAGACTGCCCAAGATCTACCCGACCTACGGAGGCTGACCACTGCACAGTCGATCGCTGGGTGGGCACTTGCGTATTAGGGGGAACAAGGGAACAAAGCGACAGTGTTATTGGGTACTGCGGGGCATCAAGTCAACAATGTTGCAGGGGCAACAATCAGGCCCCTGTCCAGCTGAAGGCTGCACGTGATGCGATAAGGCAATCGATAACGATGGCAACTCCAAATCATCTTATCGCTATCAGAGCAATTGATCTGCCAAGGTTCCATGGCTTGAAGCTTTCTTGTGACATTGACATTCAACCTCCTACAACAAACCCCATCACGCCCATTCAAACGCCCAAAATGCCGAAAGAAAAGAACTACAACCCAGTCAATGCTCAGCGCAAGGCCGATAAAGCGAAAGCTATCAAGAAGGGTAAAGCTTCCAAGTAGCAAGACATGAGCCAGTGAAGTTGTCACTAACCAACCACTCTTCCAGGCAAGGCCGAAGTCCAAGGCCGTCGCAACGAGAAACTCGCACGCCGCAACCCCGAAAGACTCCAGAAACAAATAGACGACCTCAAGGGCATCACAACAAACGGAGGCAAGCTCTCGCGCCACGAAGAGCAGGTCCTCGAAGGCCTCGAGAAAGAGCTACGCGCAGTGAACAAGGCGCGCGAAGCGCTCGGCGACAAAGCACCCACCTTTAGCCGCGGAGGAGGAGGAGGATACAACAACCGCGATGGCGATTCTTCCGGCGGAGTTCTCGGAAAGCGAAGGCGGGAAAACGACGAGTTGACGAGCGACGAAGATGTTCCCGACGACGTGAAGCGGATCCCCATGCCACGAGACACACCGCCGCCGATCCCGAAAGAACTGATGGACAAGTGGTATGCAAAGAGACGCGCTAGGTGGCAAGCAGAAAAGGCAGAGAGGGAACCGCCAGAGGAGCGGGAGAAGAAGGAGAAGGAGGCAAAGGCCCCCGCGCCAGAGCCTAAGACCGTATACGAGGCGAAGCCGATGGTCCGGAATTTGACAAAGGAAGCTGTCACGGCCTTCGTGCCTACGCACGTCAAGATGAAGCTGGACAAGGGCAAGGGCCAAGGCGGTCTTATGGAGCCTGAAGAGGCGGATCGGCTGGAGCAGGAGGGCTACCTTCCGACAAATGCATCTCTTGCAGAATCAGAGAGCACTAAACCCCACCAGGTTATGGTGGAGGATGCGGAGGATGAGGACGTCTGAGTGGGGCTGTATGGTTCAGAATGTCAACGACAATACAAGCCTTGATCATGGCCACGGGTCCGACAAGTCAGTCTCCATTGCTCTCAGCTGCCATATGTTACGCAGAGCAACGAGGACTGTTGCGGCTGGTTGCCCACTCGCACGCCCACAGCTCCAGGGAGGGGGGACTATTGACGGAGCGGACGGCGAGGGCACAATCCACCAGAAGGTTGCGAGGCCTCGGATACACGGCATGCGTGAACTGGAATGAGGATGGGCGGCAGAGGGGTGAACGATGTTCACAGAACAGAACCCTATAGTCCGCTATGGCTTCAATGCCAGAGTACACAAGTACAGAACAGAAGCTTGGACAGACAACCGGGCTCTGCACTCGGCGCGTCAGTTTTGCGACTCTGAGATTGCGCTACATGGAGGCCCCTAGATATCACGTCTTATGAGACAGCCACGACCAATGAATGATTCGCTGCGTCCATCTCAGTCGTTGCTTTTGTACGAAGCCGCTTTCTGTCTCATTCACGAGCAACAGTATCTTTATAAGATAGGGCATCCGGCCATCTCCAAGGCTTAATAAACAAGATTCATCACGTGTATCCTGCTTTTCTATAACTGTGACATGCGGAATTGGCAGTCCAGACTTTTCCCTGTTGGGGGGGCAAAGTTACGGTGTCAAGGTCGCCAGCCATCGACATCCTAACCCCCTTTCACTAAGCATGGTAGGTAGGCAAACCATCAACGGTCTCCCAGGCGTCTACAACTCCTTTTCCTCTTATTTGAAATGAACGCTTACAGTGTCTCGTTACTCAATGGGGCAGTGTAGTTATCTTCTCCCGGCAGGAGATTTATGTATGAGCAACACGGCCTTGAGACTCACCTTTCAGTTAGTTTGTATCATAAGAGACTTTCCACCATGGACATGCAGACAGTCCGAGGTGTTTGATAATCGTGATCTAAGGGGTAAGAATAACATCCAGGTGCCGAGTATCCACGACGATGAGTCCATAAAGGGTGAAGCAATCTACCTCTTGGAGTTGGTGATCTCCTCATCCCCTCAACTGCAAAGATCTGCTTCCAAAACCCCTAACTCCCCGAACAGAACTTTGCCCCCATTTCACCATTTCCACATATCATCTCCGCCACCAACCTTTTCTCCAGCTCTACAATCTTCAATGATACAAGAGTGACAATGACATGTTCTATATCAGCGTCAGATCAGCGTTCATGATGAGGTGGCGAAACGATCACCAGCGAGCAGAGATTCTGCATCCGAGTGGCATTCAGGTTGCTTTGGGGCCCTCAAGGGGCGGTAGTAGGCAAGTGGGTGATAGAATAGCATGCCAGTCAACGCACGACTAGTTGCCTTTTAATTGTGACTTCCATTATTATTATCACCTTACCACTATCTCTAAAGGGTATATTCTATCAGGGGTATTTGTTTTGGTTTCTCTGCCCTAATGCTCATAAGGCGGTGCTCGATACGAGTTACACAGTATAAATACACAGCATGAGTGGATACTCCCACTATCAGGAGTATATAATACATATGAAGAGTAATGATAATAAGAAAAGTAATAATAGTAAAGAAAGTAATATCAATAGGAGAAAGAGGAAGGGAAGGAGCGGCATACATTTGCGTCACCTACTTTGTAGGTAACGTACCAAGAGAAGCTTCCTTGGGACAAGAATACACATGCACCAGTCTTTCCATCTCTGTGGATTTTCTAAACGACTTTCCTGGCGCTTGGATTGATGAATAACATTTAGAACGTGGCCCTTCTAGACTTTCTCGCTCAGAGAGGGGGGGAAAGGGGCCGGCGGCAATAGGGGCTACCTACCATAAAAGGGGTAAAATCGTACATGAAAAAAGGAGAGGAAGATTCACCCTTTGATACGGAAGAACCGCTTTGAGGCTACCTAGAATTGCATATAAAATCTCCTTTCTCCAAGAGTCGCAGTAGTTCCCACTCATCCTCATCCAAAATTTGGCGAAAACACGGTCTTCTAGACTAACCCATACGAGGGGCAGACTTCCCGTCCCTCAACCCACCAAAAAAGAATCAAAAGACGGACCCAGGAAAGTTCGAATCTCGTCTACGAAGAAACCACGGCGCGGGCTCAGTACGGGAACACGGCAGGACATTGATTCTGCCCATCGTCATCGGGTGATGCTTGCCCTTCCGACGCTCGACTAGGTCGAGGTACTTGCAACGGTCAACATGTATTCTTACAAAATGTAGGCAAGTTATCTTTGCTCGTGAAGGCTTGAGGCTCCGCCGACAGCGAAGATGATTGGACTTTGACCATACCCAGAGGTTATGAACAGTGGCCCGGAACACAAGCCATCTGAGAAATTTGGTCACTGTCAAAGTCAGAAGCATCACCGCAAACCCCAAATGTTTTCCAAACACCGAGCTAATAAAGTCCACGGAAGTGGCTTCAAGACTGGAAAGAAGGAGTCCTTTTACCTTCGCTATTGACCAATTAACATCTTCAAGATGTTCAGATTACCATACCTGAGGGCAATAGCCGACGACGCGTATAGTCCAGAGACCGAAACAGAACACTCTGCCATTCACAAGCAGGAGCAGTCATCTCAAGAACTCCATCACCCAATTGTCACTCATCCCAAGGGGGTGTACACCCTCCTGTATCGACTTACAAAAACTGATTGGCTGCAGTTCCTGCCATTCGATGTCCCGTCATACTTTAGTTGGTTCTCGGCATAAGCCGTTCAACAATTCTTCCGCGCCATGCGTACACCAACTTCACCACGTCTGTGGACGTGAAAGCCCCCCCTGCGGTCAGAAATCGAAAAGTTCCTACGAATTCTGTCAATCAGCTTTCGATCGGGAGGCCAAGCCGGTGTCTCGAAAGTGCCAGCAGTAGAAGTCATAGTGAAAAATCAGCAGGCTTGAGAACGCCATTAGGTCAGCTGTTGAGGTTATTCCTGTCTCAAAGCCATATGAGAGGCTGGCCTCGGATCGGAGATGCCACCGGGCAAGTAGGATTCGACGGGGCCCATAAACCTCTACCGAGATCCTTTCCAGGACATGCATGCAACTCTGCGCGCAGGGAGTGAGCAGAGGTCAGTTCACCCACGCAGTAGCGTGTCAACGCCCTAGAGGACGCCTTCAACAGACATCTGTATCTATTGTGATAAGCTTGATCGATCGCTGAGAAGCGGGAGAGAATCTGCTGGTACCATTCCTCGTACGCTTGGCCGGGTTGTCCTCGCCAACCGATGTTATCTGTAATCAGAGCCTCTCTGATTTGGCACGTTCAATGGACCTCGGGTCGCATTGGCCGCATTCCAAGGCAGTAGAAGGATTTTCTACTAGTGGTTAATCAACGCATAACTCGAGGCAAAGTGCTGAATCCCGTGGAACAGAATGGTGAGACACGGCTGCAATATTGGGATCCTAAGACTCCGCGACCTAGGCCAGGTGGCCAGGTCGATAAATCATCGATGTTGAATGTGTATCGTCGTCCGTGGCGTTTTACTTTCGTCTTTGGCAGTTCTCAGATGCTCGCTCAGCTCACAAGCTGCATGAGAGTGTGTAAACGGTAAAGGGGGTGTTGTCAGTTTACCTTGCGAACTTGCTTTTTCCATCTGCTATCCGGACCCGATTACCTTAACCGTTTGAAAGTCCGATGGGTCATTCCAAGCCGTGTCGGGTACAACTGGAATGTAAGAACGGGAAGATTCTGGCGTGCATGTATTTTACCGGGTCTCTGTTACATGATCCGCATGTATGACGTTCAGCATCAGGGCTGCAGCATGTCGCCCTTAGAGGTATGGAAGTCTGGCGTCTGATTCGGGATAAAGTATAGCATACCATTTGCATAGGGTCACTGGTGAAAGTGAAATGATATAGAGTGATGTAGAAAAAAAAACCACCACATAGAGTGATGTAGTGGCAGCCGTGTTTTCGCAACAATACGTTACCCCAACAGTTGATCTCCGGATGTGTACCACCTCACCTACCCCACGGCTGGCGCGTGACATCCAGGATTCGGTCAGGCGTTCGTATCTCTGACCTTCAGAGTAAAGTCGAGAAAAAAGATCGCGTTGGTTTCGGAGATATCGTAGTACTTTGAAGGAGCCATGCAATCGGCCGTCGAAAATCAAGGTACCCCTTATCCCCAATGCGCGGTATAGGTGTAGCCGATTTTGACCTTCTTGGAGAGATGCTCGACGGTATAGGATGCAATACGTAGTTGGCCAATTTCTTAAGATGATTTCACTTCTAAAATCACACAAGTGAGGAATGCTGTGATACTCGAGACGTAGTGCATGGAGATCGGATTTAATTTGGTCGATGGCGATGGTGTATGGTGGAGTATTATCCATGTAACTTAAGCGTGAGGCGTTTCGATGCTGCGCAGGGTAGCAGGCAAGGTACCTTGGGTAGGAGCAGTGTCATCGAGATTGTCGTGGCAATGAGTTGGATCGTTGACTCTATGGCGGGGATGATTTCCAATCTGGGCCGTCTGGCGAATTGGCTTCAAGGAATTGGGTTCCAGATTCTATTCGCTCGCAGTAAGAGGTGCCTATGTCCTGCAATCAGTGATTTGAAACATTGGCTATTATGGTAGTTAGGTTAAAACAATGATGGCTGCCGAGGGTCAACAATGAAGACGAGGATGTCTGCGAAGCATCATGAGTTGATTCCGGAGGCAGAATGGAAAGGGGCCGGCCGAGATGCGGAGCTGGAGGATGAGATGCAGGTTACCGTAGCATTTTGGTGTTGCTACCGGGTTAGTTTACAGAGCTTCTGGTCCGGGTGTTTTGTGGGCAAGGGTGATCAAGTAGTTTAGGATCGTCGAATAGTGTACAAGGCATGCCGCACCACGTCTCGATGCCTGCACGTAGCAATGGCATTGATTGGCTGGGCATCGATGACCGATGCGGGCGAAGACTCGGTTTTGGTAGGTAAGCAGGAGAAGATGGCCAAGTGAAAGGCATGGAGGTTACGGTGAGAGGTTATGTTGGGAGTGGAAGCGTACGTGTCGTGCGTGTCTTGGAGCACTCTGAGCTGCGATGGCGATGGTGATAGCGATCTAGAGATGTTGATGATGAATGGGCATTACCGGAAACCGCACAGGCACCAGGTCATGATTGCATGTGATGAGCATGAAGAAATGATTGGAAGGAGTTGGAAGCGATTGGCTGTGAATTTTTCTTCTCCTTGGCCACCCTGGGTAGGTACGGTAAGGTAGGGGAAAGTGCGACGGAAAGCTGAAAGGGTACCGATACGTCGGTGAGGACTTGATCTCAATACGGTGCCTTGAGGAAGGTAAGTACGGAGTTGGCACTGCAGGTTCCCAAGGAAGCCACGCTTATTAGCACACTGTGATAAGCGGTATATAAAGAATAACCGTACGGCACCGACAGACGCACGTTGGAGCCGGTCATTATGCACGTTTTCAATGGAGGGCTGGACCTTCCCACAGCCAAGGATAGGTAGACCAAGAAGATCCTTCTCCAGTATCCACCGTTCAAAGGTAGTCAGCAGGTGCGGCCAAGACAGAATACACCTTAGTCAATTTGGTAAGCACGTAAGGCATCCCCGGGACGGGCGACGCAAGTCATCCCTTTTCTCTATCAAGATTAGCAGAGCTAGTACCAGGCACAACCGGGCCACTCTAGATCGAGGAGGGGGAAAGGGACCGTCACCTTTGCCTTGAGATGGAGTTAGGGGCGTGTGGCAAAGACGCGATGATGAGGCTTGACGAATGCTGTCGCGGCGACTGTGGGGAAGCAAAGCCCAGAATACCTACCCAAAAAGGGTATCTGAAAGAAACCGTTAGCGTTTACAAGGCGCCGGTGCGTCTGCAAGTTGTCGGTGCCCATTGAGTGTCATGCAGCAAGACGATGTCGTGCCAGAAGTAGTGAAGATTGGGGGACTGGGGAACGAACCACTGAGGGGAGGGGAGGCGCCGGGCACTTGGGAAGGCGTCGATGAGAGGACGGGACCTTGGGAAAGAAGCCAACCTGGAAAGGGACATGGGAGGGGCAACCTAGGCCGGTTAATGGAAGGTACCTACCTAAGACGACGGATTATTACCTCACCTCAGGCGACTCGCGAAGGGCCCAGCGCCTGCCACCTACCTAGATTTGCCACCTAGCGCCTTCCCGTGCCGGAGTTTGATCCGGCGGCCAATCAGCAGCATTAATCTCACCGGATTGAATTCCGCCACGTTGGGCATCCATCACTGGTCGACTCTCCATAATCTTCTGGAAACCACCTGCCCAACCTATCAGGATACAGAAAGAATCACTTACCTTCTTGCCTTCATTTCGCTCTCAAATCTTGCACATCCAATACATTCCCGTAAGCCGTCCGTCCATCGTTCTCCCTCTCGCAGCCGATGCTGCTGGCTGGTCTTCGGCCCAAAGTCACTTGCTGTTTAGTTTCGCCATCCTCACCTCCTCGTCTTCTTCAACCACCACCACCACCACCTCCACCATCGCTACCACTCAGTACCAGCGTCTCCTCGTATACTTCCTCCTCGTCGTCCTTCTCCTACTGTTCTCTGGGCATTGTACATTGTCCACCAAAACCCATACGTCACTCAACCCTGTCACCTCTCGCAATTGCTGGCCTTTCCCTTGAGCCCACGGATACTCCCCCCAACTTGACTCTCAGACAAACTCCAATTTCGGCTCCGACTTCAACCCCATTGTGCTCCTTGACTTTTGGTCCCGTCTTCACTATGCGACCTCTTCCTCGGCCGTTTTACTCTACCTTACCATACCACTCCCCAATACCATCACATTTTGACTCTGCTGCCTTCTTACCATCAAAGCATTGCATTCGGGCCCCCAGTTCCGCTTCTACGGACAACCTCTCAGCTGTCGCCCTTATGCCTATCCACCCTCCCCCTCGTCTTTGTTGCTTCGACACATAACGCCGAATATGACAACTGTGCGAGCCCTGTTCATCTCTTCTAGCAGTACCTACGCCTTCGCTCCATGTACGCCACCCCGTGTAGGTGTGAACGCACCGGCTGTCTTTTCTGTCCGTTGTTTGAGACATCTGGCAACTTAGGTCGCCTGGTGTAAAAAGACACGCATTGGGTGGAACAGCTGTAAGTCTATTCTCTCACTTTATCCCCTGTCAGTCCCAGCCCCGGTAGAAACCCCCGGCGCGCATATTCGCAGCCCTTCTCGCACCTCCTTCATTGGGGGGGCCCGCTCAAATATCCTGTCGCGCCCCCATTCATCGGCATGACACTTCAGCCCCAGTCCCTTTGTTGCCCGTATCCTGTCATAGACTTTGCACCAGACATACGCCCGACCCGAAGCCAGCAAACAGGAGTTCCTCCTCCTCCACCCCTGGTTTCCAAAATTAATCATTTTTTTTTTACTCGCAACCATCTTCTGTCAGCATCATCTTGCGGCTTTTGGTACTCATATGCTCTCAAATACAGATGCTAGCTGCTGTCCAGCAAAGCCTTTAAGTTTTTCTTCAGATCTCGCCAGCAACGCCGTCAAGACAACCTCCCTACTCAGACGTCTGCCAAGGGATTTGTAAGAAACCGAACCTACCAGGCCTAGCCAACCTAGAAGGAGAGCCATCTGATGCCCATGCGGGAGGCAATATGATGACTCAGTCAGTCTACCCCGAGTTGTTGCCAATGTATACTATACCACAGCAACGGCTCCTATCGCCCATCACCGAGTGTCAGCAGTGCCAGCGGTGGTCCGGATGCGATTGCTACGCGACTGACCCGGCAGTCTCTCCGGGTACTCCGGCCTCATCGATGGCCTCTGTACACCAGGAGGTTGATATTCTGACCTGTCAGGTGTTCAACTCAACATCAGCGACTCCGTCGGACTTTCCAACGGCTACCTGGGCACCTCAATGCGAGGTATGGCCAACGTACCAGCAGTTGGACTTCCAGCCACCCGATTCCGTTGTATACAGCCTACCTCATCCGTGGCCAAATCCCGTTAACACTCCCCCTACTCTATGCCAAAACTGGCAACATTTGTCCGATAATCAACTCCAGGCTGATTTGAACCCGGGAAGGGCGTCAACACGCCAAACGCCGAGGATGGCTAACGGTCGAGAGCCGGAATCGATGCGTCAACCACCCATGAAGAAGGCACGTCTCGTGGCCAGAGAACACGCCTCACCGATGGACACGGTTTCGTACGACGCAGACGCCAAGTGCACCGAGGCCGCCAACGAGCACGAGGAAAGTGACCACGAAACCTGCTTTTCACCAAGACCGGAAGGGAAAAAGACGTATCGCGTCAAAAACCGAGCTGCCGCAAAGCGATGCCGCGAGAAGACAAAACGACATGAACTAGATCTCGCCGCTCAAGAAAAGCGAGTTACACAAGAGCGAATGTATCTGGATGCTTGTGTAGCAGCACTCAAAAACAAGGTTCTAGTCCTGAGAAGCCAGATTCTCGAATACGGAGACTGCGACTGCGAGATAATCCGAGGATACATTGCGAGAACAGCTAATAATGTCAGCATCGGGCTTCATGGAGAACGCCAGTTGGCGTAGCGAGAGGGCATAAGAGCAACATCTACTCATCCTGTCTTTCGCTGTTGGACGGATACAACGCAAGAAGGTCGAACAAGATCGAAGTCTTGAATATCAGGTAGAGCAAAAGACTCTTGATGCTAGCTTCACATCTACACGATCTGTGAAATAAGGTAGGCTTTCCTTCATTCCTTGCGCCGAGCACCCCTCCTCCTCCTCCTCCTCCTCCTCCTTCTTCTTCTTCTTCTCTCTCTCTCTCTCTCTCTCTCCAGAAACCGAGCAACAAGCTCTCTGTTCGAGACCTTGGCCAGAGTCTGTTTATTTACATTCTTCCCGATTTTCCACCATCTTCGACGCGGCTATTCTCACGATACTATTCAGATCTCCCCCTCCTCTTCCTAGACACAAGCTAATTACTGCTGTAGGCATATTTCACTGACCAAGGCGAGTTTGTGCCATGTTCTCTCCACAAATCTCTGCTGCAATGTTGCGATGCAGTCAGCCAACCACAAGGACAATTTGGAGAAGCGCTTTGAGGGGGCAGAAAACCCCCCACCCCAAAGACGCCCCGGTTGGGCTTAACATCTTGGAACCACCCCCCGCCAATCAACGGCCGGCTGAGCCAGTTCCAGACACTAATACGACCCGATTAGCAGTGCCGCATGTACCTCGACCTGCTGGCGGGTTGCATTACAACTGGCGCAACCATGGTCTTTGTGCAACCGAATGATGTCCTATGCTCAACTGTTTTCTTTTCTTCTTTCTTCAGGCCTTTTCGTGTCTCCCCGCCTTATTCCCTTCGGCGGAGTTCCATCGAAAGCAGTCGTAAGTGACTGGTTCATTATCCGTCGTCGCCCGGGTGCACCAGGCTTGGGTTTCAGCAGCCATAGGCAAAGTGTGCAGATTGTCGGGAGTGTCTAATCCTAATTCCCGGCTGGGCTGCTGACACGAACCGACAGCTGAGCTGGGGTCCGATGCGCCAGCAAACTCTCGATAGCCACAGCGGCCACTCGCACCTACGACATCCTTGCATTTCTGTCCCTTCTGTGGATGGATGGATCGCGCAGCAGCAGCCTCTACCTTGCTAATGGGCTGGCCTGGCCATGGCCAGACGATTCCATGGCTTTGGGGAGCTTTGCGAGCCAAACTTAACCTCTTTTATGTGGTTTTCGTTTATTAATATTATTTTTCATTTCTTCCCTTTTTGGTTTTCTTATTTACCTAGAGGGAATCGCGGCAGCTTTCCCGGCACCGGAACAATCCAAGTGGCCCAGCCAGCAACGGGCACGGGGATTTGGCTTGAGGGCCACCGTCTTGTCCATCCATTTCGTCATACCTTTCTACCTCACGAGCTCCCAAGAAATTGAGAAACTACTCGACGGGACGGGCCTTGTCAGCACTTCCAAACACCTGCAACAGCAAAATAACACCACGACGATAACGAGAACGATTCAACCACTTCCAACATGGCCAGCGGGTCGGCAGTATGATACGCACCGTCAAAACGACTGAGACTTACCGAGCGACGCGGCGGGCGGATCTGGTCTGGCGGTTGAGGCCCGCTCTGGCTCTGGCTCTGGCTGTGCCCTCTCTCAATTCGTCCACCCGCGCCATTTCAATTGCTACGACGAATACGCAGACCTCGCCGTACCAGCTACACGCCTACGCCCATAATATCTACGCCTCCTTTTCCACTGTTTGTGGCCATCTCGGTTGCCCACCAGGCCTGCCCATGGTCCTGTGGCAACGCTCACGATGAAACCACAACGCGAGCTTTTACCTGCGGGCCCAACAGCAGCCAGCAGTGCCTCGTCGGAACGGGAGACAACCCCGCAATCTGCCACTGGTACCACGTCTTCTGCACCAAGACGACGTCCCCAGACAAAAATTGCCTGCACCTCATGTCGCCGCAGGAAATCAAAATGCGATGGTCAACGTCCTGTGTGTTCCTTGTGCGCGGGCATGGGTCGCACCCGCTGCGAGTACGATGCTGGTCCCGACGTCACACGCTTCGCTGCCCTGAAAACAAAACACGAGGAGCTTCAACGCCGCCTTTCTCTCTTTGAAGAGCTCTTCCGCCTCCTATCCAAGCGCTCCGAGCCGGAATCCGTCGAAATTATCAGGCGGATGCGGACTCTGAATATAGAAACCGATCTGGACGACCTGGTCAAGTTCATTAAAAACGCCGACCTGCTCATCCAGCTGGCTTCTGCACAAGCTGAACCCCCTGCATCGGGGGCACCAGGTTCTGGCACGAACCACCAAGACCCTCCTGCAGAAGATCTTTCCTCCCTACTCGAGTTATTGTATATCACACTCAGCCTCATGGCTTCTTCATGTCCCGTGGCACTGGCTGACTCCAAGATATCAGAAAAACGGCGGTTTCCAAACTCGACGCAACGGCTCGCTTGGCCTTTCTTGATACGATAAGACTTCAGATCGAAGCCTTCATCTCTATCGAGCGTAGTCAGTCTGGCCCCGCTGAGTCGATCAAGATGGATGGGCTGGTGGACGGGGAGATGGATGGTGCTGTGGATGGAGAACTACAGGACGGCGTCGATGGCGTACACCACCATGAGTCAGAGGTTCCTCTCAAGCGACTACTAAACGATGATACGACGAAACCGAGATGATGCACGATGCATATTATGGAAGGCCGACATGTCTTTGCATGGCAGGTATGACGGACGATGCTTACGAATGGGCGAAGCAGTTGGGCTCGCATGACGAAGGCGTTTTCAAAAACTGATCAGCAACGCTCGAGACGGCAATATCTACATATTGGCCGCGTATTACTCAGCGGCATGATGGGTCTAGGTCCTGCCCATGGCGACAGTCTTTCTTCGACAACAGTACTCTGCGTGGAACCGGGAGATCACGGGCCATTGGGAGTATCACGGCTATACAACTTTGAACAAGCAGCGACGCCGGCCCTGACACATCATGGCTCGTTTAAGGTTCCACAACGGGGCGAGGAAGGGGACACGGCAAGAAGTTGGAAAGACGGGTGCGGGAGGCATCGAATGCCCGACTTCATGTTCAGCGGTTGCACGGGCAGAAAGGGAGCACGACGTCGCATCTGCGGACACCGATTATGCCTTTCGGAGATTTACTATGCCCGGAAAGGGGCAGCACGCAAAAGAAAAGAGCCAACAAGACGAGTCTCTTCACGAATTTGAGGCGAGGCAAAACATTCAGACATGATGGCGAGGTATCGTGATATTCTAACGAACTCGAATTATACGGCATTTGCCGAGTCGCTTCGCATTACACAAAAGGAACAGTGAGCCTACTCTGGAATACAGAACGACATTATTCAGTGCTTCGTTCGCCTTAGGGTGAATACCTCTTTGGACTCAAGCATGTGACCGGCCTTTCATCTTACACATCAAGAACTGAGCTTTAAACTTTCAAGTCGAGCCCTGTGACAGTATCAACCCGCAAAAAGGTCTACTGGGATGAGATGGGCTGGCTTTCTTTTCATCCTCTTCCGGCTGTACGTCAAATGAGAATGTCTCGATCAAAACGTCATGATGCGCACTGATGAGAGGGTGTGGTCCATGCCGAAGCACTAAGGTAGTCCAGGGGTGTTTGTCCCTTGTACGTTGGTACCTAGTGAAGAATGAGGTATCCGTACCAAACTACGGGGACCTCTTTCTGGGCTAATTTTTGTTCTATTTCGTTCTGTTTCCCCCCGGTCTGCGGTGTGCTTTTTTCCCTTTTCCAACGGTCGCTCGAGGGTGACGGACGATATCTCATGTTCCCAGCCTTTCTAGCCCTACCGGGCGTGCAGACGTACGATGCCTCGGGCCGAGTGCTGCATTTAAACGTGCCCTTGCCTCTTACCTCTAATGATCAGATGTTAATCACGGTTGGCCGACAGGGGAGAGAATATTGGACAGAAAGACACGAGAAATCGATAAGTAATCAGGCGAGAGTGTAATTTCTGACGCAGCGTCAACGCCATGGAGGACTGAGTGTTTGTGGCACGTGGTGTCTTTTCGGAAAGGGGAAGATTGATTCCATGAAGGCGTACGGAGTACCACAGTACGGACAGTACCTTTGAATATGGGTACCTACACAAGGCTAGGTGCCGGCAGGCAACTAAACCAGCTGCAGGCGAGGGGGGAAAAAAACAATAAAGGGCGGTAAGAGAATGGTGGCTGGGGACAGGAGAAAAAGAGAGACACAATGGGGGACCACCAGAGCGATGAACCTCGAGGGCCAAGATCAAGAGACAATACGATCTCGATCGTTGATGAGGGGTTGTTGGGAGAATTGGGGGGGAAAGCTCTGACGTAGCGGGTACCCTTTCCCATCTGTGCTTATTCCCCCCCTCTTTCAGACGGCGCGCGTGTCTAGGAGCGGGGAGAGGGAAAAGGGGGATCACGATGGACTTTTTTATCCGTTTGTTGTTTGCGGCGGCAGCCAGCTAGCAACAGTAGCGACAGGACCAGTCACGAGAGCGAGCGGTCGATCGGTCGGTGTTCGGCCGACGTGGTTATGGGTTCCGACTTGCGGTTCCGAAGAAGTTCCAAGGTCCATGTTCTCTGAACTTTGAGCATGGTCAGTCAGACTTTTGGGAGCCTCAAAACTTAGAGACTAGAGAGAGAGAAGGTTGGCCAGATTGCCATGAGAAGGACCGAGAAGAAGGCTAAATATCGGTTCGACGGGTTTGCGATGGCCCGACAACTTGCGACTCTGCGACAGCAACCCGAACCCATCAAGTTCTTTCGTCACCCAGGTTGTGTACTTCTTTTGGCGGCTTGATCCAGGTTGTGTTATTACTCTGCGTTCTGGGTTAATTATCGGATGTTCATCCGCGCGCGTGTGTGCGTGTGCGATGTGAGGTTACCTACGGCGCTGGGTCCGGTACCCTGTTCCTTTCAAAGGGCCAATTGCAGGCTTTTCCCCTTCAGCTTTTTGCTTGGCTATGGAATTGGACGGATACCTTCCCTCACGGATATTGAAGGTACACGTCTGTGGTGCTCCACTTTGCCGGTTCCGTCCCAAAGAGGATTGGGGCCGGCTAGGTTGACAGGTGTGGTTTAGTACTAAAGGGGAAGTGAGAGGGGAGCATGAGAAGGATAGGTAGGCACGTAGGTAAGGTGAGAGAGAGCCTGAAAGGAAGTGTGTGATGGCGGGGATGAGGAGGAGACAGGTCACAGAACATGCGGCGGCTTTTTTGGCGCGGGATTCTCCGTGATGTGGATGTGAGATGGACGAGACGAGGCTAGCTGGCACGTGCCAGGGCAATATAGAAGCTGGCCAGGACCTTGTTTATATGAGAGAGGGAAAGCGTTCGAGAGGCACGTGGGAGGTACCAGCATCCGAAAAGGCACTTTGGGAAGTTTTGGGTGATCCGTAGGTTGATGAGATCTGGTTACGGGTGGACGGGTGGGTGAGGTACCTCGAATGAGCCGCCATCATAGTACCGAGCATGGAGTATCAGGTAATGATTTATGCACAGATCAGATTTGAGCGGTTGTATCCGTATACTGTAAGCAAGTGAGGCTCGAGGCTTGAGGCGCGGGCTAAGGCTGGGGTCACGGTAAAGTATCAGAGTGTACCAGAGAGCGGCGGGAAACTATACAGTACTTTGAAGCGGCGGGGGGGGGGGTCGTTTCCGAGGGTTGAAAGCGGCCGGAGCCGGCGTGGGCGGCGGGACACGCGAGCATTGCGAGGGATGCTGTGAAGCGTCGGCGGTTGGCGGGAACCGAACCGTTCGGGGGGTGTTGAGCAGTCAGAACTTTTGAAAGAGTGTGGTTCCGCTATCGGCCGGATGCCGCGTAGGTTCATTAGTGCTTGATGACTCTTTTCCGTTCTCATATGTGCACCTCACTACGGATAGTCTGGTATGTGAGGTATTGGCAGTCATGATGTTTCGTTTACGAGCGGTCATGGATTCGGTGATTCAGTCACGGTGAAATCACCACTCTTTTTTAATTGTTGCTGTTATATGGTTGACGGTGTCATGGACTTTTTCTGATTCGAGTAAAGATGCGCATTTTGTGTCTCTCTAGATCTCGATTGTAGAAAGACATTTTTGTTGGGGGCAGCATTATTGGAAGATCAGAGGAATATTCATCCATAGCGCTTCGAGATAATGTCATGATTGCGTTGTTCGATAATATGTGGTTGGTGGTGTTTTTTTTTGTGTGGAGAAGCGGGAGCCGGAAAGCTAGGTAGGTAGTTAGGCGAGGGAATACCCGTAGGGGAATGAGAGAAATCTCGATAGTGCGGTATACCGTGTATGCTGTACAAGGTAAGTTTCCCCCCTTTGGGGGGGTAGGTAGTCGTCTTTGTGAGGCATTCTTGCATTATGCGGCTCTACACCCATCCAGCAGCACTGAGGAGAGAGTGTTCCGAGTATGTGTCTACGGATCTGCGCTGTCTCACAGACTCAGACAAGTTCGGTGTTGGAACAAAAGTGTCATGGGTTCGGATGTGGTCTGCTGGGCAAAAAGCTGATTCATTTGGTTTCGGTGGTGGGGGGGTTTTTTTTTAGAGGCCGAGAATCGGCCCAGAGTCCAGACCTTCCCGGAGCGAGGTTTTCAACGACTAATTGAAATACGCCATTGGTCAGTTTCTTTTATCTCGCGACTTCGTCTTGAGCCGCCCCGACGCCCTTGACTACCATGAACTTGTCAGAGAAGGGCACATGTCAACAGACAACATGACCATTTTCCTGGGGTTTACTGCTTTACTTTATTCCCACCAATATTATGCTAATAGCCTTAATTCTGTAAAGCGTACTCCGTAGAAGAAACCTAAAAGGAAAAGAAGAGAGGCTGCGCGTGGCTTGAGGTCTTGTCGACGTTGAAAGACATGCGGAAAAGATGAGAGAGAGAAAAGAGGCTGACCGGGGTATGATGGTTCGGTTGAATTACCCACATCGAATAACTCCCATGAAGAAAACGCGAGACCGCGAATCCTTTTTCTCTTCTAGTAATATGGTAATACCTTACGAACCCCGAAAAGCTAGCTAGTTAGGTCCATGTGCCCCATCCCGGCCTACCTTAGTAAAGGAAGCTGGGAACCTACCTTATTCACACAACGAACGGCTATCGGTTGTCCGTTCCCCGTTGTTCGCAGGACCCCTGGGAGGCAAACCTGGGGTAAAGAAAAAAGTTTTCCCTTCTCTTCCCTCTTGCGTTCCCACCGCCCTTTGCATTACATGACTACATGACTTGTACACTTTGCCTCTTCCGAGAATGGTTCCATGGTCCTTTTGAAGCGAAGTCCGTGTGCGTACCTTGGCTGCTTGGGTCTCTTGATTGGTTTGGAAATGACTGGATAATTGCATCAAATCACCTAACCCAACAACACACCTCGTCTACACACACACCAAACGAACGACCGAACCCCTACTACTTACCCATCTACTCCCCCAGACCAGGCCCATCTCTAGCCGAAAGAGCGAAGAGGCGAAAGGGAACTAGTAAGAAAAAAGTACAAGTAGGTTCGTTGATCCGCTTTACCTCTCTCTCTCTCTCTCTCTCTCTCTCTCTCGCAACGGCCCGCGGAGGGTAGTGTTGGTATTAGTCGACACTCTTTTCGCCTCCTCGAGTTGAGAACCTGTTTTATAAGAGACGGGCATCTGTCAAAGCTTCGACAACCTTGTTACCGCCAGTACTTTTGCACATCGAGTCTCGCTTGAAAAGGACTGAGAGGTTTTTGAAGGCTAGGACTGAAGATTGTGTACGGAGAAAAGAGGATCAGAGTACCGTGTACAAGACTGAAATCCGAGGCAAAGACAAGTCAACGGAAGCAGGAGGGAGAAACGTGGCCAGCAGGGTTGCAAAACTGCAAGGCGAAAGTCAAACCAGAAAGAGGGAAGAAGAAGATCTGAAGATTGAGGGGGGATTACCCAAAAGAAACAGGCCAGCACGAGACATAATACAGAGCCTCGCTCTCTTATTCTCGCTCTCTCTCCTCTTCTGTCCTTACTTCATCCAGCCGTCCATCCATCCCACATGGACCCAGAAAAGGCTTCCACAGCCCGCCAAGGCGAGCACATCGCTCCCGAACCGGACTACAGCAACTATGACTACCCGCTCCCCAGCAAGACAGAGAGCGCAGCCCACGACGGCGCCGCGGCAGTCATAGGCAACGACCTGATTCCCTCCGTCTCCAACGCCGTCGCCGGCGCAGGCGGCGCCAACTACCACCACCACCAACGCAACAACGACTTCATCAACAACAAGAACAATAATGCCGCCTACAGCAAGGAAATCGGAGGAGAAGGAGAAGGGGGTGCCGGTGACACAACCGACGATGACGGCAACTACATCCACCGCACCGACACCGCGGGCGGTGCCTCGACGATAGCAGAGGAAGAGGCCTATCCCGAGGGCGGGCTCCGGGCGTGGTCCGTCGTGCTGGGGTCCTGGCTGGCGCTGTTCTCGGCCCTGGGCATCATGAACAGCATTGCCATCTTCCAGACGTACATTGCGACGCACCAGCTCAAGGGGTACAGCGAGGGAACGATTGGGTGGGTCTTTTCCGTGTACACGTTCCTCTGCTTCTTTGGGGGTATTTATATCGGGCCCGTGTTTGATCAGTATGGGCCGCGGTGGCTTGTTCTCGCTGGGACGGTGTGTCTCGTTATCGGCGTTATGTTGCTGAGCATCTGTACTGGTAAGTCACACACACACACACACACACTCAGACACCAACCATGCTGCCTCATCACATCACTCCTCCCACCCAGACAGACCACCTTCAAACCACATCCCCGAGAGAGAGGACCAAAAACATAAAGACGCGCGCTAACACACCCCCTCCCAAGTATACTGGCACTTTATGCTCGCCTTCGGCATCCTCTGCGGCCTCGGCAGCTCCCTCGTCTTCACCCCCTCCATCGCAGCCGTAGGCCACTGGTTCAAGCGCCGCCGCGGCTTCGCCACAGGCATGGCCTCCACCGGCGGCTCCATCGGCGGCATCGTCTTCCCCCTCATGATGAAGTCCCTCTTCCCCGTCATCGGCTGGGGCTGGACCATCCGCGCCGTCGGCTTCATCTGCCTCGCCCTCTGCGGCGCCTCCAATTTCCTAATTCGCTCGCGCCTCCCGCCGGCGCGCAACGCGAGCCCGCACCCGGACCCGCGCATCTTCCGCAGCGCGGCGTTTAGTCTCACGACGGCGGGCATCTTCCTCATGGAGTTTGCGCTGTTTATCCCGCTGACGTATATCTCGAGTTACACGCTCAGCGAAGGGTTCAGCGAGTCCTTTGCGTTTTCCATCTTGCCTATTCTTAATGCTGGCAGCGTCCTCGGTAGGGCGCTGCCCGGGTGGTGGGCTGATAAGGCTGGGCCGTTTAACAGCAATATGGCCGCTATCGTGTTGTCCATTATTGCGTGTCTGGCGGTCTGGTTGCCCGCGGGTTCGACGGCGGCGGGCGTGGTGGTTTTCGCCGTGCTGTTTGGGTTCGCGAGCGGGAACAATATCAGTATTAGCCCCGTGTGCGTCGGGCGGCTGTGCAAGACGCAGCATTATGGGCGGTACTATTCCACAACGTATACTGCCGTCTCGGTCGCGTGTCTGATTGGCATTCCCATCGGTGGTGAGATCGTCACGGCGACGGGGGGCAAGTATTGGGGTCTCATCATCTTCACCGGGCTGATTTATGTTTTGGCCTTGGTGGCGCTCATGGCTGCCAAGTTTGTATGCGTTGGGAAGAATATTTGGGCCAATTTTTAGACGAAGGAAAGAAAGAGAAGGAGAGTCGGGTTGGCGTACTTCGGAGTAACGGTAATTTCGAGGTCTTGGCACATAAAGAGGGATGGCATATCAAAAAGGCAATTATGATGCGAATTGTACATATACCTAATGAAGCTAGACACGGAGTACATTGTAATGATGTAAGCTTACCTCACGTTTACCTGTTTTGTTTTTTCATTCCAAACGGGAAGCTCTGATCATCGGCTATCGGTGCCGAATGAACATCGAATGATAGCGGTTCTGAGTCACTTGTGTTGAGATTTGAGATTGAACCGCGGTTGGAACGACGTGAAGGCCGACGGGACGTCGTTGCGAAGCCCCGAAGCAAATACGTTCCCAGAAATCCGCAGCAGATTCCATCCCGGAGGTGCGGGTCGGTGGGGCGCGGGCCTCCTTCGGCCCGTGCGGAGGAACCGAACCGGCGCCTGGAAACGACGGTTTAAAACCCTCGCTGCGTTCCCTTTCCTCTGTCGTTTGTGGTGTTTCTTTGCGTTTTCAATAATCTTTGTGGTACGAAAGTTTCAGAGATAGAACGTTTCGACACATTCCTCTCATACATGCTGCAAGACTGTACTCTTTGAACTTCTAGAGACACTGAACTTTCAAGGTGAGTTTTACGTGTAAGACACGTCATATGAGAGAATGGGCGCCGGAGGACCGAGGTCCGGCGGAGCTTATGAGCCGAGTAAAGGAGATGGGCTCTTATCTCTCATACGCCTTATACGCCCTACGTTTGGACATGAATGAGGATGAATATGGCTACCGGAGATAACAAACTTGTATATAAAGTTACCTACTAATACTTCCCAGGTCTTACTCATACGTCAGGACCGCCCATGTCACACCAACCAATTCTCCCTGTCACCAAGGTCTCATAAATCTCACCACCACATATCACTCAACACATAAACAGCGCGGCTACTCGCCCAGGAGGTTTCATTCACATCACCTTTTTATTATACACAACTCTGCCCAAAAAAAAAATGTCGCTCCCCACAGAAACGGCAGAACGCCAAGAAGACGCCTACTTCTCCTCCCAACCGCCCCCCAGAAACCTCGAATCCCACGTCGCCGCCGCCCGCTCCTTCATAGACCACCACGCCGCCTCCAGCCGACGCATCGTCCTCGTCACCTCGGGCGGCACCACCGTGCCCCTCGAGAAGCAGACGGTCCGCTTCATCGACAACTTCTCCGCGGGGACCCGCGGCGCCACCTCGGCCGAGTACTTTCTCGAGGCCGGCTACGCCGTCATCTTTTTGCACCGCCAATTCTCGCTGCAGCCGTACTCGCGCCACTACTCCCACGCCACGGATTGCTTTTTGGATTTCTTGGCCGAGGGCGAGGATGGTACTGTCGTCGCGAACGCGGCGCATCAGGAGCGCATGCGTGCTGTGCTGCGCAAGTATACCGCCGCCAAGAGGGGTAACATGTTGCTGATGCTGCCGTTTACTACGATTACGGATTATTTGTTTGAGCTGCGCGCTATTGCGGGCTTGTTGAGACCCTTGGGCCCGTCGGCGCTCCTCTACCTCGCCGCCGCGGTGTCTGACTTCTTCCTACCTCAAGATAGGATGGCCGAGCACAAGATCCAGTCTACCAACGCCACGGACTCTTTCTCTGGAGCTGGAGCAGGAGCAGGATCAGCTACAGCGACTACCACAGCCAAACCCGCCGGAACCAGCACCAGCAACGGCAACAGCAACACCTCCAACGCAGAAGACGAAGAAGCTTTCGACAACTTCGACTCCACCAAAGTAGCCAAATCCAAATCCCTCGTAATCGACCTCGACCCCGTCCCCAAATTCCTCCAGAACCTCGTCGACGGCTGGGCCCCGCAGGGCATGGTCGTCAGCTTCAAGCTCGAGACGGACCCGGCCATCCTCGTGCACAAGGCCAAATACTCTCTCGACCGGTACCAGCACCACCTCGTCATCGGCAACCTGCTGTCCACGCGCAAGTGGGAAGTCGTCTTCGTCGCGCCCGGAAGGGCGGACCGGTGGGTTCGCGTGCCGAGCGTCCAGCGCAAGACGCCCGCCGGCGGCGGTGATGAGAGTGGTGGTACCTGGGAGGATAAGCCGCTTGATCCCAGCGCGCTGCCGGAGAGTGACCCCGAGATGGAGATTGAGAGCTTGATTATCCCTGCTGTGCAGGATTTACATTCGCAGCACATTGAGTCGCTGCAGAAGTAGAGGCAGAAAGAGAGAGTGTGTGCCAGCGACGGAGCAAGGATTTCAGGGTTTCTGGCAAAGACATTTTGGCAAGCGTCACGTATATAACGGCATAGCGCGCATCAAATGGTAATAAAAAAGTGTATCAAGTACAATTGCTTCTCTCTCTTTTCTCTCTGTCTCGCTCTCTATGGAAGGCCCTCCAAACCATGCGCGCTACGTGGTGTTTTATATGATATATGTACACACCCCCCGGGTTTTCTGTACAGCGCAAGCTTGTTTCCCTTATTTGGACGACGGCGCCAAACGCCAAGCTCTCATGGGGAGTGACTGCAGATGCAGGACCCTCGGTCGGATGTAAAGCAAGAACGTGACCACGCCGAAGATGACGCAGATGATGTTGACAAAGTAGTATCCGTCGCGCACCATCTCACACGTGCCGCCACCGTTGACGCACTTCTCCTTTTCTGGCTGCAGGGAGCAAGAAAAGGGGTCGGTGATGACGGGGCCCTTGAGGGCGTTCAAATCCGCGGGGTTGCCGGGTTTGCAGGTCGCGACGGTGAAGTAGTCGACAAGACGCAAGACGAAGAAGCGCGGGAAAGTACCGCCAAGGTTGCAGACGCTGCGGTGACCATATTAGCAAAGAAAATCAGTTGCAAGGGTGTCCATGGAAGAACTTACGTGGCCAAGAGAGTCATATAAGTGCCGCCGATGACGGGGTCTGCGATTCTAGCGTGGAAAGCAGAGACGGCGACAAACATGACCGTGTTTGTAAAGGTCGAAAAGACATGCTCGCCAATGACGACGAGCATGTACCAAGAAGTAACGCCGCCAGCCGGGAAAATGGTAACAGTGAACTGGGCAATGAGAGCAGCGACGAGGCGGCCCATGAAACCCCAGCACCATAGGCGCATGGGCGTGTATTCCTGAGACCACTTGCCGGCGTAGTAGCCAAGCGCAATTTCAAAGGGGAAATCGATGAGAACCGTCAGCGCCATGTTCTCCTGGCCGAAGCCCTTGTCAATGAGCTTCAGGTTGGTGACTGCGTCGTTGGCCTGGAATCCAATCTTGGCAATGAGATGAACAATGATAATGGTCTGGATGTTCTTCAACTTGAGAACACCCCACATGATCTTGTACACATCCCAAATACCGTCCTCATTCTTGGTTCTCTCCTCACGCTTGAAGAGAGAGAGCCCGAGGGTGATGGCAATGTACGCCCAGCCCCAGAAAGTCAGGTATCCGCCAAGGGACATGAGACCGTGGTCCAGGGGAGAGCTGCGGAAGTAGCGGTTTGCAAAGTCCTTGGAGTTGAAGGCCAAAAAGACTGTGTAGGACAAGAAGTGACCGGCAGTGAGACCGACGGTCTGCGCAGTAGATGCGTAAGACACATTGCCGGGCGTCAGGAGAGTCAAAGCCCAGCCGTCTACAGCGATATCTTGAGTGGCGCACATAAAGACAAGGAAGAACCACCAGCCGGTGAAGTTCCACACGGTAGGGCCTCCGGGTTTGCCGGTGTTGGCCATCATGTTCTCGACTGTAGACCCAAGCCAGAGCATACCCAGTCCTGAAAGCAGCTGGATGGGGAGAATCCAGCTCTTTCTGCGTCCGACCTTGGGGCTCCAGACCGCATCAACGATGGGACTCCAGAGAAGCTTCAGCGAGTATGGGTATGAAGCTAAACTAAAGATTCCAATCTCGCTGTATGACATGTGGTCCTTCATTAGGAAGGGCACTGAACCACCCGCGAGACCCATGGGCACACCCTGTAGGAAGTACAGGAGCACCAGCAAGAGGAAGTTCCTCTGGTCCTGCAACGGCAACTCGAAGAAGCCATGGTTATTGGCGATGGGAGTCTTCGGAACGGGGTCGTCGAGGGTGAAGGATTCGCGCGACATGAGGTTCGCGGTTACAGTGTCGGAGCCGGGAGTCGTCGCCTTCCGCCGGAACTCAACGTTGTTCTGGTTCATCGCGCCGTTGGCGTGACCGTTCGTGCCGTCTGTGTCTACAGCTAGATCGGCCAAAGCTTTTCGCTTGACGGACTTGTTTCGGCGTGTTCGGACGCTCATTTGTGCTTGGCTTGTAGTTGAGGGATGTCTCGGTTGGAGCTTGCGGCGCAATGCTAGTATGCAATGGTATTCGAGGTCTCGGTTGAGAGCGTTTGTATCGAAACGTCAGAGGTTGTTTGGGAGAAAGAAAAAAAGACTTTATGCGACAAGTCGGGAGTCGTGAGTAAAGGAAAAAAGGTTCTTTGTCTGTCCAGCGAGGACCACCTAGACAGGGTCGAGGGCGGGGTGGAGCAGAGTCCGTGGCAGTCAAGGCGACGTTGTCTTAAATAACAGCTTAGACCAATGACAGTCGGTATGACGCTAGGCAACCAAACGATCGAGAGCTTGTTTTTGAGCGCGCGGATTTGGTTGGTAGAAGAAAGGGTGGAAAAGGGCGATGTTCCGGGAAGAGTGGAAGCGCAACCGTGGCCTTTGACACTTTTGAGAACCACGCCAGTGGCAAAGAGGGAATGAATCGTGGTCGAGTTGGTCGTTGCGGGGTCTGGAAAATGATGGTAAGGATAGATAAGAATGAGATACGACAAGAAAAAGAACCCAAGTCCCAAGTGGACCGAGAAGTAGTAAATTTGACAGAAGCAGATCAAGACCACAAGAAAAGGTGTTTCTGCTGCGACGATACCTCGGGGGTGAAGCGAAGTTGGGGGAGAAGATTCAAAGAAGCTTATCCAGATCCAGACGCGCTCCACTCGAGTGGGAAAGCCACCCGCCGCCCGGCGAGCTCCCTTGGGACCCCTGGCGCCATGCCTCATTTGGCGCCCATGATTGTTGATAAGATAACAGCTTAGATAAGCTTCCCCGCGGGTCGCATTCCGCGCTGTCGGTACGGAGTCTTTGTTGACTGGGTTCAAGTGTCTTGCACTGCGCTGCTTGGCAACCAATTCAATTGTCAATTTCACCAAGACGCGTCAACCGCGTCGAAGATCCCCATCACGTCATCGACGACTACGACGATTGCGCTCTCCCAGCCAAACAAACTGCATTTCCCTCTCTTTTACATCCGCGACAGAAGAAATGTCTGGTGAACTCCCAGATGCTGTCGCAAAGGCTCTCGAACAGGAGATCAATGACCTCCGAGCTAAAGGTAGTCATTTTCCACCACTATTCTTGCTCAGATGCTGACTTACGATGCGCCCAGCCGCCTCGTTGAAGAAGGAATTGAAGGTCCAGGCCACAGCCCTCATCTCATCCGATTCGATACGAAACGCCCTCAAAGAGGACAACGAGAAACGCAGCGCGATTGCACTCCCTCCAGAATCCAAGGCCGTCCGCGACCAAGTCCTCTCCCGATCCAAAGCCCAAGATGCGCACGACCAGCAATGTCTGTACAGAACCTGCGCAACCATATCTACCTTCAAGGTCAAAGATCCCGACCCCAATGCCGTCGATCGAGGCAGCGTTCTCGGCATTCGCATCGAAATTATGTCCGACGCCAAGTTCCGACGACCATACTATGTCATGCTCAATCGACCGTACAAAGACTCGCGACATCTGCGAGTTCACCGCCATACGGTGCCTCCATGCATCCCGCTTGCTGCACTGGCCGCTCGTCATCTCCCTGCGCCCAAGCCTGCCGACGCCGAAGATCAGAAGGTCCAAGACCTATCTCGTTTTGTGCGAACGCTGAGGAGGGAAATCGTGAGATACCACAACCGCACTGCCGTGATTCGCGATCTGCAAAGGGCGGCTGGGCTGGTTGGCGCCGGCAGCGAGGAAGACGACTCCGATCAGGCGGTTACAAGCATTGTTGCTGCAGACATCGAAGCCAAGCAGATCAGCATCGAATGGGCCGATGGCAGAGCGGGCAGATTGCTCATGAGCGAAGACGGGCAGATCCAAAAGCTCGTCATTCTTGGCATGGCGGGACGTGATCGAGAGACCACAAGAGATATTCTAGGTGACAGCCGTCGCGTGGAGGATGTCGCAAAGCGGCTGGCAGCATCTTGAGGAATTGGATCAGATACGACAAAGATGCTGATGTGGAAACACGGACCTATGGACCAAAGACCTGTCGTCTGGCGACAATATGCACCAAACTCGAAACAGGCTCGTTCAGGAACTATATCCATGGTCTTCAACGAAGATCCTGCGGGATGGATCTCAACTGAAGGCATCCGGGCCAGAAAAGGTCCGCGCAAGTGAGAGCCTGTGCTGTCAGCCGTCAGCACCTGAATACCACATTTATCCGCTCGACTCATGCGCGGCCCTCCGAGCCATCCGCAACCTGGCCTGAACGCAAATATAAGCATATTGCGTTCAATCTGTGAGGTTATGCAGCCACAAAGTCGCTCCGCAACTTAATCGACAATGCAGCGAGCGTGACTTTTCACTGCGAGTCAATGGGGGAAGCAGCAGAGTGGGTCATGTCAAGAACGGATCGACTCAAGGTACCCCGCGACCTGAAGATCTGCCGTTGATCCGCAGCACCCGAACAGAGCCATGCGACAAAAGAACGACAGCCAGGGCAACACGATTTCGGATGAGCACAAAGCTTCTGAGTCTGTGAGGGATACTCGCTGTCGCCATGTTGACCCGCGGTATTGAGCTTGGGTGCGAGAAATCGAGTCCAAGATTCTCTCACTGGTTGCACCTAGTAGGAATAGAGATCATGGAACAAGTATTTGTTTAACAAAAGTACGCAACCCATTATATTAGCCTTAACTAATTAAGTTGGGTTTTTCGGACGCCAGAGCCGATATCCTCCTTCGCCCAAAGTTGCGAAGCCCGAGGAGCCAACCCCATCCTGTCCGAGTGAAACCCCCCCAAAATTCCCATTCGTTGATTCCCCAGTCATTAACCCCTATTTTGTTCCATTGTACCCAAAGTTCCCATGGTATATCACCCTCTATGCCTGAAAACACAACCAAATTGCAACGCATTGTCTTTCTCTCTAGTTACATGATGAAAAGCAAAAGGCAAAAAAGGCAAGAGCACTTCATTCAGATGAAGGCAGCAGCGGCAGCCACCACGGCGACCACGACACCACCAGCGCGCTGAACATTCTGCACCGCACCGGCAGTGACGACGGCGCGGCTCGTGGTCGCGGTCGGGTTGGGTCTAGTGACGGTGCCGACTGAATCAGGCTTGGTCGTTGTGGCTGCAGGGGGAGCAGAGGAGACGGGAGGGACAGGAACCTCGGGGGGGCTTGACGAGACGGGCGGGATGACGACGAAGGAGAGGGTCTCGGGAGGGGAAGGGTTGCTGGGCGCGGGCTGTTCTGCGGGCGCGGTGGTGGCCGGGGGAGCGACGGGTACTACGGGCGCGGTGGTGGCCGGGGGAGCGACGGGTACTACAGGCGCGGTGGTCGGGCCTGGGTTGGGCTCGACGGGGACGGGGCAGATTGTCACGACGGCGGGGACGGTGACGGTCTCGTACATTGTGCCGCCGCCGTTGCCGGGGCAGTTGGGGACGCTGGGCGGGCAGCTGTAGATTGTGGAGACGGCGGTCTGGGTAATTGTGGAGGTGGTCCACTTCCATGACTGCGGCGTGGTGGTGGGCTCGGGCTGCTCCGGCTGGTCGGGGGTTTCGGTGGGTTCCGGGGCCGAGGGGGCGGTCTCGGTCTCGGTGGGCTGCTCGCACTTGTCGCAGCCGGGCTTCTTTGTGTGCTTGGGCTTCTTCCACTTGTGGCCGCCGTCGCCTCCCCATGTGGGCTTGCCTGGGTGAACCCAGTGCCAGCCGTGCTCCTTGTTGCTGTCGCAGTCGTCAATGTAGACGTCTGGGTGGGGAGGGTGCCAGACGGAGATGCAGTCTGAGGGGGGCCTGTGAGGGGGCCTGTGAGGGGGCCAAAGGTATTGATGTTGAAGTCTGCGTTGCCGTTGGCGAGGCCGAGAGGCTCGATGCCTGGTGGGTAGCTGAATTGGCCGTCCCATGTTGCGCGGGCGACGGCTGCGAGGCCGAGGAGTGTGAGGGTTGAGTAGCGCATTGTGTTGTGTGTGTGTGTGTGTGTTTGGGATGTGGTTTACTCTGGATAGAAGAAAGAGTGAATGTTTACTATAAAGTAAAGGGGGGAGTGTATAGAGTGGGAGAGCAAACGAGACAAGAGGGCGGTATTGAAGGTATTAGCGAAAGTAATTGGTATCAGAGATACTGAAGAGAAGAAGAGGGAAAGGGAAAGACGAGAAACAAGGTGAAGAGCTCTCCCTTTTCTATCTTTCTTCTCTCCATCGCGGGAATCTCATACAGGGGGTTTAAGTGACGATGTCGGAGACATCGGGGAGGGAGTGGCCAGGGGCAAAGCCGCTAAGCCCAACATCGCGAATAGACTCACGGGTGTACCTTGGGTAGGTCGCCAATGGGATAAGCTAATTTGATTAGACGTCATGTCAGTTTTTTCCGCCATACATAGTAGTATCCGTACCTTGGAGAGAAAGGCCTCCCCTTTGGACGCCCCATCTAAAGGGGCTGGAAAAGAAGCATCGCCCCGCAGGCCTCCATCGCATGTCGAAGATCTCCGTGATTGGTTAGCCCGTCTCTTGATGAAGATCAGGGGGGGGGGGGAGGAGAGGAGGAAAACGATCACAAGGACGGGATCCCAAGCTTCGGATGGACGTTTGCTAGAATTACGTTGCGATCAAATTTGGGACGACAGGTACGGATACGGGCAGAGGTGGCTTGGAAGGGCCTTGTTTTTCCCAGCTTTCACCTCCCCATTCGTAAAAGAACAGAGACAAGGAGTGGTTGAAGAGCAGCGAACAGGCCAGAGATGGAGATGGAGATGGGCGCAGCTGCTCCTCTGCATGAGCCTCTGATACAGGGACGGGGCATGCTTCGGCAGATGGGATCACCCAGGATCCCTGTGTAGAGCAAAAGCCTTTTTCAGCCTCCTTCACCAAAGATTGCCTCCAAGGAAACCCGGGGGAGGCTTAAGGAGGAGGAGGAGGAGGAGGGGGAAGACGATGTTACCTAGCCCGACAACCAGGGGTAATGCCGCTCTACTATGGTACGCTAATCGTATATCCCTGCAGAAATCGTCTCGAATGGTGTTGAGCTTAAAGAGACCTTTGGACTCGGACTCAACTCGAGATGGGCTGACCCCTCCAATTGTGAGGCAGCACAGCCCATCATCTGAACTTTCGAAACACCATCACCCTTGGTGATCCCATGAACTTGGCCAATTTCCAAGGGGGGGGGGGTCAAAGCATGCAAAGGCAATTGAATGTGCAGAGTAGGTGTGGCAGCCACTTTCTCTTCTTCGCGAACTCCGAAAAAGAAAAAAAACAAGTGTGGGAATTTATTGCGTAGTGGTCGTTTGTATGGTGTGGGTGTTGTGGGATGATGTCAGTGAGGGTTTGCTGGTGGCCTCCCCTCCGCCCCCGAAGCTCTCAAGCCCTACCCACCTGCGTACCTGTTGGTGGCAGTGGAATCGACCATAGCTTCGGCGCTTAAGACGGATCTTCTAATGGTCCTCAGCCTCATGGCTGTTGGGTGTTGTACATATGGCCCATCTTCACGGTGTGGAATAATCTTTCATGCAGGTTTATCTCCTTTATGCAGAGAGTAAGGTAGGTAGGTAGTATTGAGATTTATCCAGCTTTTGGATATGTGAGACCATGTCCAACAATTATCCTCAATGACATTTGGCGATGAAAAAGCTTTGCAGACCGGCAACGTCCTCCCTTGTCGATGTCGAGTTTGACAGGTGGTCATGACCGCATTCCGTCTAAACAATGTTGCTTGGCTGCCTCCCCTTCCCGTCCACGTCTTGTCAAAAATAGGAAACCGGCAAGAAAGAGTCATGAGCAACGGCCCAGGATGGATGGTTCGCCTCGTCATGAACTGTAAACGAGCCACAGGAGGGCTTGAGGGTGTCGTCGAAAATTGGCGGCTCATATCCAGCTCCGGCCGGTATGCCATATACTCGCCACACGTCGGCAAGACAAGGAGGGGAAGTTCTTGCGAAATGGGGTTCTTGGCCAAAGTCCGATTTTAACTCTACCCTAGCGAGTAGAGAAGTCGGGGGATTCCCGTGCCCTCGTCATCCGCGGGAAACCCAAATAGCCAAAGTAATATCAGCTTGTAATATTAATGCAATTTGATCGGATCAGCTGTGTGGTTCAGTTTAGTCAAATGGTCCTCTCCCCCACCTGGCATAGCCCATTGACTAGTAACTTACTGGAAACCGGTGATGGCTCTTGCGCATTCGTGGTATAGGGCCCGGGCAGTACTGTAAGTGAGATGATGTCTCTCTTCTCCTCTCTCAGCGAGAGCGCCAGCTCGGCCCGAAGCCTCGCTTGCATGAAGACCTGGTGAAAATTCGGTTGCCGCGAGCAGCGCACGCAATGCGATGACGGTGATTCCTTGTGCATTACATACAGCGGCAACCGCCGGCAGAAAGCAAACCTCACCAGTCGAGAGGTTTCTTGGTCTGCGGCACCGCGGAGCTCGGCGCCCGCTCCGGGCTCGGCTGCCTCTCGTGCTCCTGCGCATCGCCAATGGCCTCGAGGACGATGCCCCATTGCTCAATCTCGGCGTCGGCCACCTTTTGCCATTTGCGAATGAGGGGGTGGGCACGAGCCACGTCGGCGAAGAGGATCTCGTCACCACCATTGGTGCCCTCGACGTCAAACTTCCAGGTCCCGTCGGTGTTCCAATACGCGGGTCCAAAGACGGAGTCAAGCTTCAGCTCCGCCTTGGCGTCGTCCAGCGTCTTGCGGGCCTTTTTTGCGGCGGAATCCTCGTCGTGGCCGTCCAGTGCGGCGGCGATGCCCTCGAAAAGGCCGACAATCTGGCCCGCGACGGAACCGACCTCGGCGCCGAGGCTGAAGCCCTCGTCGAAGCCCGCCTGGATGCTGTGGGCTTTGGCGGCGGAGATGCCCTCGCGGTAGCCGGCGTTGGTGTGCTCGGCCTGCAGGCGCGGCATGTCGCCCGGGTGCGTTCCCATGGGCGCGCTCGCGTCTCGGGCAAAGTTGTGGCTGTCGCTTGGCGAGCCTGGCTCCGAGCCCCAGACGTCGTCAAAGGTCTCTTGCGCCTCCGCCTCTTGCAGGATGGTGATGCGTGGGTCGTCCATGGCGCTGGTGAATGGCTCGATTTCAGTGTTGTCGATGGGCTGAAGATGCATGATAGAGGTGATGCGAGAGAGGGCTCAGGAAATCCTTTGCCGTCGTACTCTTTGGGGTTTAGGTATGCTGAGGTGACGGATATATCTTGAGAGGGTGATGTGATGCTGAGTTTGGATGACAAAGTATGAAAATTTGGGAGTTGATTTACAACCAGATCCCCCGCACGTCACAACTCTTCGCACTGTCAGATGCAAACGCTACTTGTGAGCCTCCATACAGTGACCAGCAGTATTAGCACAGTACGCCACTAAGGCTACTCAATCGTCCTGAGGTGGTCCACAATACCTTCACTTCACATCTTTCCTACCTACCACTTTTCGAGTTGAATAAATCAACATGAAGTGTTGTGTTCAACGGCTATTCTTAGCGGACGAGCGATTTTATGTTTTGAGACTAGCCGGCTGTGTGTATTTTGACGGCATCTAGACCTGGCTCCGAAACAAGTTCCTTGAGCGGGATCGATCTCGGCGGGCAGCCAAGTATAGCAACAATCACTATGTAGTAGAAACTCTAGTGAAGAGTGAGAAACATTCACTTTCTTCCCGCTTCTTCACTTCCTCGCAGAATTGCACCGCCGAGACCGACATCCCGTGGTCGTCTGACACCTTGAATGCCAAGTTGCTTTACCCCAGATTACCTCGCAGGGGTATGAGATCCATCTATTTCTATACCAGTAGCATCGTCATGGGCACCTGGAAAGGTTACCAGGATGGCGACCTTCCCCGGATCGACGTAATTTCCCAATCAAAATGAAATCCTCAGGCAAGTATATTTGAATATATTTTTGTTCGCTCATGAACAGATGTAAACTAGCATATGGTATTCCCTTTTGCTGTCAAAATTTCCTCTATGCCGTATCCAAAACAACGACCTCAGCCTCGGCCTCGCCGATGCTCTCAACCTTCAACTTATCCCCAGCGTTGACCGCGTCGACAAATGCACCGTCACCCTCAGACAAGACAGCATCCTCGCGGCCATCAAGCATGATCTTGGCCTTGCCGCTCTTCGTCATGGGCAGGTGCACAAACACCTTGCGCTTCGTCTGCTCCGTCGCCTTGCCGCCGACAACCCACTCAAATCCACCACCGGCCCCGGGCGCGATGATGCCCGCGCCCATGACGAAATCAGCGTGAACGGGAATCGTATCCGGGATCCTCGGCTCCGCAGCCTTCTCCTCCGCCGCCGACGCTTCGGGCCCGGCCTTGAGCGGCGACAAGATCGTCACAAAGCCCTTGCGCTTATCCTCGTCGGCGAAATGGCGCGTGTGGTACGTAGGCGGCAGCCCCCTCTTCCACGGGACGGCCCAGATCTGGAGAAAGTGCACCGTGTCCTTGTTGTGCTCGTTGAACTCGGAGTGCGCGATTCCCGTGCCGCCGGTGGTGAACTGGACGTCGCCGCGGTGCATGCGGTAAAACTTGTCGCTCTGCCCGCCCTCAGCGCCCTTTTGCAGCATCGAGTCGCGGTGCGTCAGCTCGCCCGAGAGGATGTAGCTAAAGATTTCAAAGTCGCGGTGCGGGTGGGTGGGGAAGCCCGAGTTGGCCTTGACGCGGTCCTCGTTGAGGACGCGCAGGCTGCCAAAGTTGTTGAAGCGCGGGTCGTACCAGTTTGCAAAGGAGAAGCTGTGGTAGGTGTTGAGCCAGCCGTGGTCTGAGTGGCCGCGGGTGCCGCTGCGGTGCGGCGTGATCTTTGCGTGGTGGAGAGTCTTTGACATTGTGTTTTTGACGGCGTGGAGCATAGAAGAGTCAGGTGAGTCTGGGGTCGATAGTGGAGACAGCGTGGTACTGTTTGTCGTGTTTGTGGTGAGTTGAGGGGTGATGTTTGTGAAGAAGCTCTTGAGCTGCGTGTTGAAGATGATGATGGAAACGAAGATAGCGAAAATCGCAGTAAGGGTCACGATGCGAGGCATATATACTTGGATGCTCGAGTGTCCCACACGAAAAAAAGAATGGATAGAGCTAGTATGGTCGAGAATCAGGATTCGATCTAGTTTGAGGATTATCGTTCAGCATTTGCAAATATCGCGGGCAAGCTTATATGTGCTATGGCGTCTATCTGGATCTGGACGATCTACTGCGAGGGTCTTACACATGCCCCCAGTGAAGCTGTCTAAGCGGTTACCTAAGGGGGGGCGCCACCGCGTGCGATGACTGGATGATTTTTCTAGCAAATGCGCTGCTTAGGATTGGATTATTCATGCTGACAGCTTCGAGAAGAACGTGGGCCCCGCCCGTTCGGCCCCGCAGATGCAGACGGGAATGGGTCCGCCGGTACGGAGTACCTGACAGGGGGGCCTGTGTGACGCAAGAGGGCCATGGGCTAGCCCGAAAATCGGGGGATTATCGGCTGTGGAGCGGAAGCCAACTTCAACCTCCCTTCTCCAGACCACGATCAAGGTCAATTCAAATCGCAACTCAATATTGTAGGTGGGAATTGAAGGTTTCTATGTGAATTGTGAATCAACACAGATGACCGTTGCATCAAGTGCTTAGGTTATCTCTTATTCGTTTCACTCAAGACGAAGAAGTCATCTTGAAGAATAGACGTAGCGTTGTAGTTGCACTTGCGGCACTCGAAGTCTGTCAAATACCTCTTGGTCCATACTGATTCTCAAGCAAAGCTACGTATGCGATTTCTCAGACTGCTCGTCTCAGCGGTCTACCATGTACCAAAAGCCCCGACATCCAGACGCGGTGGAGATGGTTTTGTGAATCATCAAAAGGGAAGAAGAAAAAAAAGATCAAAAGCTCAGGTGCCCAGTCCGTAATTCGAACTGGACCCTTACGAAATCCTCCATCCGTTGACTTCTCGAGATTTCATACCAAGTTCTGTACTAACGGACCAGGGCGTTATACCGCTCGACCATGGGGATCGATTGGGCTTGGTTGACAAATTAGGCCATGGGCCTGAATATAAACCCCAGAATGAGGCAGCCGCGGTCGACGCATGGCCTGGTACCTTCCCATCCACCGCACCTCGTACCTAAAGCCAGAAATAGATGAACCTACCGTAAGGAGACCGGTATTTTGACTGCGCTGTCTACCTACCTAACTGTATTGTTTGTGACCCACTGCCGACTACCACCACCACCACTTTCACCTCACGACACCGCAAATGGACTTACTCTACGGCCGGTAGGTATGAAGCAGGTATATCGAGAGTGAAGTTGGCTATGCAATTCTAGTGATCTCAATACGAATGCTTGCTTGCGACCGTGAGCTGCGACCGTGAGCTGCGACCGTGAGCTGCGACCGTGAGCTGCGACCGTGAGCTGCGACCATGGTCGATTCGTCAATTAGTGCAATTTCATTTATTGGATGTGACCTACCAAGCAACAGAAGGCCATAAGCCTGACTGGTAGTGGCACACATTCAAGATAGCCAGACAGCACAGTTCAATTAGCGCCTTCACCGTAAGTCCTGGTGTTCGAAACCATCTGCCCACTTGAAAAGGGGCTTCTCGATATCGCAGTAGCATCAGTGGTGTGAAGCTGCACCAAGGGAATGTGAGAAGGGAAAGACGGTGGTGATGCTCTTCGTAGCAGAATCTAGCTGACCTCATTCTAGTTCGTCGTAGTAGCTGATTCAAGGGAGTCTATTGCATGACTGAGACTACCTTATGCCGCAAGAGAAACGAAGCGGAGGAAGGGCAGTGATAGTGAGCGCTTATTTAGGCCAGGCAGCGGAAAGTCTTTCCGGCAAGATCTAAGCCTCGAATTAAGGGTGAACTCTTTTGTCATTTGGGTTGAAATTTCATTTTTGTTTTCTTTTGCTTTTGGGTGTAGATGATTTCAGTTTGCGCGTCGTAAGGAGACTGAACTCCCCTTCCACTGAGTTTTCCTCTTGATGTGCGTTCATGTCTACTACCCAAGTACATTCGCATGGTTTTGACAGCGAGCGTACTCTTTGGAGATGTCTAGTTATTCTCTCTCGTAGGTGCTTTTTTGCCTTTATCGATATGGAAATTCTTCTCGATATCGTGGATGATCACTTCACCATGAATAAGGCTGATTTCGCGCCCGCCCAATGGCGATCGACCGCTTTGATAACAATAAGAGAATGGCTAGGGATTCTATCGCCCAGCACCAATCACTCCGAAAACGACATCGATGTTTCTCTTTTCGTTAAAACAGCGCATTCATGGGAAGCTAGTTGCTTGCCCTCATCCCCACGTAGATTCAGCAAAGAAAGACTCACAGCTGACGACTCCGATCGGCACCAATACTAGATGTAAAGCCATCGGACAAACTTGACGCATTCTGATTTCCCTTTAAGCTTTCAATCTCTCACACATATTGCAGCAAACCGATCCGTTAGGATACGATGTGCAAAAGACTGTCAGCAAGGGCCAGTAAGGCAGCGTATGTGCATATGCGTCATATCTTGCTTGTTGAAGATGGTCCTGACAGACTTCTAGTACGCTTGATCACCTAGAACTAAGAACTCTAGGTTCATTGAAATCTTCGGAATAGGAGAGAATGTGTACACATCACGAAGTCTTCGATGTGCTTGCACATAGGGTCGCCTTGTAGCTCTGCCATGGGGGCGTAGAGTCAAGCCCTTTTCATGTGGCCCGAAGATGACTTCACACATGGCTGGTCAGGTAAGCCGCTTGAGACACTCCCTGTTGGAATATTGGCAGAAAAGGTGGATTTGGAAGGTAGTCTGGGCCGTGCAAACGGCCCTTCCACCTACTTACACCCAACGGAGGAATCGTGGGCTACGCCCACCAACTTTCTCCTTACACATCCATACGCAGTTCAATACCAAGATTATTGAGCTTCGTACCGGCCCTCAGGCTGCCCTGCTGACGTGTATACCAACACTCCCGCTTTCGAGAAGGCCAACGAAAGAGACGATTTCGACACTTGATATCTCGAGCCCGCTGTAAGTCTAGAATATCTCACGATGAGACGGCAGGGGATCTTCAACAGGCGGGATCCTACTTCCAATACGGTGTAGGCAGTTTTTCAATCGAATGGTCTGTCTTGCTCGAAGACATA